ACGTGATTTTGTTGAAGCAGTGATTTTGCGGAAGGGTGTAGTTTTCTTTTGAAGGTTGTGCTGATATAGAACGGTCTGGGGATTTTTGTGAATCTAGTGGAAAAAGTCTGACTGTGGTGTTCTAAGTCTCAGATTATATCCAGGTCGGAATGCTTTGCTCCTCCCCCTGCGTGGAGCAGCTCACAATGGGATGATGGAATTTTATCAGTCATGCAGTGAGACTCAGTGGCCCATTAACAGAAGAGATCCCCCTGGAAGGAGGATGGGTCCTGGAAGAGATAAAGAACACTGCCCCAACCTGGTTTTAACAGATGGTAATAGAATAATACATAGTCCTGGTTACATCTTGCATTGCAACCTCAGATGCTTCTTAAATACAAGTAGAGTGAAATTAACCTGATTAATATTCCTATGCCACCTACAGATCTGTCTTTTGGTTCATATGCTAATAAGACTGAAGATTATTGATTCTGAAATGCAGTTGTAAAGATCAAAATTGAGTATAAGGGTACTAAACCAATTACAAAAGCATATAATGGACGTACAATAGCCAGAGAAGAAAGGGATTTGAAGATTATAAAACAGATAGTATAATATACTCTCCCTTAAACTTTCTTTGCTCATACATGCACTGGTTTTTTCCTACCTGCCTCCCACCCTCCAAAAGTTCTTTATCCCTTGTATATTGGCCAAACCACCTGGGGTATCTTGTTGAGTCCTGAAGTTGAAGATCTTCTTTCACTCCACTAAAACTTGTATCTGAGTTTGAGACTACTCTGAGGCTTATTTCTTTCAGAACTTCAGTCAACTCTAAGGCACAAGAGGACCACTGGGACTAAGTAATACACAATTTAAAAGTACTTTACTTGAAATAGTTTCTTGAAAAATATTTGAGACCTGGGTTCTTGATACAAAGACAAAATGAGATCTAATATAGACAGGCTGGAATTTAATCAGTGACAAATATAAACCTATTCCTATCAAATTAATTATTTGCATGAGTACACTTTATTCATGAGAACTAATCTGGAAAAACATTTTATGGTCTCATTTTCATTCATTTGTCACTTACAAAAAAGAACTCATGACATGCTTAACAAAGCAAAGTTTGAATTCACCTTCTTGAAAAGCAGCTTGTACAAAACAGGGCTTTTTTCTTCCAGCTTTTTTCTTCTTCATCTCCAAGAAACATCAGCTCAAACTTAGACGAGAGAAAGAACACATTTTGAGGTTGGATACCTCTTTTGTGCTGTAGATCAGTTAACATATAGGAGGTATCACTTTTAAGCACTGGGGAGATTTACAATACCGTTTCCTTCTAGCTACTGAAATGAATGTTCTGTATTTCAGATGACTTTGAAAAACCTTGTTGTTGGCAGACACTAAAGAAATACTTAATGCAACTGTGCTTCTAAGAAATATATAATGGAAAGCTGAAGCTGTCAATTATAATGAAGTCTGTATTGCAGACTTCAAAAATAATTCAGAAAGAAGTGTGTGCTCTGATTCAGAGTATGGGTATACAACTCTTCAGGACTCAGAGATTAATGGTAAATAAAAGGGACAGTTAACTTAATACCACCTTTTCCAGTGTTATATTAATAATAATCCTGCTAAAAACATGCATTAGAACTCATAATGATGCTCACCAGATGTCTTTTTGCTGGTCAGAAAAGAAAATGCTAACTTTTTTTTTTCCAATAAAAGTAACACGTAAAATAAAACAGACACAAAAAAGCACAGAAGAAAAATTGCATAGTAGGGGGTGGGGGAGAAAGCAATTAACTTGAAAAATGTAGAACTGAAAATTAGAACATAGTTTGGCTAAGTTTTCCACTTGGTTACTGTAATTAAAGAGAGCTGCTTGTCTTACTGAAGCAATAAAACAAAATATTGTCTGCTTAGCAAATGACCTTTAACTTGCAAAAATATGCAGTTCTGAATGCAAATGAAATAATAGCCTGGAAGAAATTAAATTTATTTCCCATTTTTACATTTTGTGTGTACCCTTCTGCATTCTTGAGTCTTTGAACCATTTCTAAGTACACTGACAAGACATTTGTTCAGAATACTCACTGCGTCATGTACATGATGTGTTGTAGCATAAAAGCTATAATTCAAAAACTGACCTTGCAGGGTAAGGTCAGGACAGGCTGTAATTTCCTGATTTGTGTGGATCCAGTATTTTTACTTACCTATAGGCAAGGTATTAAGGGACTGTTAAAATTTCTGCTCTGAAGCTGAAGAAGCAGCTGCAGGATCTCAAGCTGCACTGGCCTTGGTTTATAGTATGGCTTCTTTTTAACTCAAGTTTGGCAAAAATAGTAGTGTGATTAGTTACACTTCAATAACATTTATAAAAAAAATTGCAAGGAAGGATATTTTTCTGAACTGACGCATGAGGATCTACTTTAGAGCTAATACTACTCTCAAGAACCTAGTATAATTGCTCTGTGTGGATTTAACTCCAGACTTTCAGCCAAGGAGCTTGAGTGTGATGGCAATGAGGCCTGGCTTCCGGTAGTCTAGGAGAATATCATGACTGTCCTGAAACATAAGCATTTGATATAGATGAGTTTTTCCACCCAGAAAGACTAGACAGGGCAAAGCAAAACCTTGTTTTTAAGCCCTGTCTTTTGCCTTCCTAGGCTGCTCCATCCCAGAATCCTTTAATCTCATGAATTTATGGAGATCCTGCAATGTGTATTAAGACAGTATGAGACATATACTCATAATAATGTGGCTTCACATCTGATTTTAATTATCTGACCTAACCTGTGCAGTGCTTTTGCCACAAGAACCCTTACTCAGTGTGTTACTAGAAATCTTCTTTGAGTACTTATTCTCAAATTTTGAATGTATGTAACTTAATACTAATATATTCATGTTATGATAGATATATTTGATGTATATTGTTGCAGTGTCATTATTTTTGCACAAATTTTTTACATATAAAACTCCAGTGTAGAATCGAGTTGGAACTTCCAAGAGCAATTAAATGTGACTGCTTGGTTGGAGTTGGAAGTAATGCAGTAGAAATTCTTTTGTCTAAGAATAGAACTAAATTTGATCAAGATAAGTGTATATTCTTTTCAGTTGTCAGGCTAGCAGTAGAGTAAGACATCATCAGTAAGTATTGCTGGCAACAAGTTAGTATTTGGAAACTTGTATTTCCAAAAATACTGCGTCGAATTTCTTTCAAATATTTCAATGCAAAAGTTTTATCCTTTTTTTCTTTTGAATTTTTGTTCTGTTTTATTGTTATTTGGGTTTATATTTTCACAGTGTATACGTAGTCAGTTTGAAGTATTGTAGAGCTTACATAGTGTGTTCTGAGTGCATGTTTATCATGAATTTTAAAAATTATTAAATATGCTGCATTATGTTACTTCTTAAGATTTAAATAGTATCTGGATTTTGTGTTTTTTAAATGTACACAACCACAGAATGAAATTACCATATGTATGTTGAAATGACTACTACTTGTGTTATCTTTAATCTAATTTGTCAGTGGTATCTAAATTGTGCTCTATGCAAAGAGTGTTCATATAATGAACAGTCATGGTGCGCATTATTAGTCTACATTCTATTAGTCTAATAGTCTACACAGGTAATTCCAACTCTTTCCTTAAATGTGAAAAATTACTTGGATAGAGAACTGTTCTGTGCTGATAACAGAGGTGAGAAGGAATTGCATCAGATTTCTCTCTTCTGTTCCTTTTTGATTCATTACTGGGTAAAACGAGTTGCCCTGGAATATTTTTTTTGCCTGTGCTCCCAGTTCAAAATATTTTTGTACTCTTAACTCAGAGCATTACTCAAAAGAAACTGAATTTTAGTAGAGACTTTGGGAGCTTACTACTTGTGGTTGTTTGGTGGCAGAAGTGGAAGTTAGTATTTCATATGGAGCAGTAGCTATATGGAGAAATAATTTAAATTCATATACTGATTTTGAAAATTAGAAGTAGTTTTTTGAAATCATTGTATAAAATTGAGTCAGTCTGCTTTTTCTACAGAATTAAAATGTTTGTGTGTATATATATTTATGCATGTTTATGTAGCTACAAGTAATTCTTAGCTAAGATGATCAAAATCTCTTTGTACATATGTTTTTTGACATAGTCCATATTCTATGTAGTTATATATTTCTCTGATTCTGCTAAAATTCATGTCCTCTCCCACCTTTGTGCATACTGGAGGCTTTCAATGGTCAGTGGTGATGAACTTCCTCCTCTTCTGACCTCTGTAATAATAATTCTTCCCAAGCTTATTTGAAGTCCGTATGGGGCAAACATTCCTGCTTCTCACGTAAGCTATGGGGAGTATTGCAGAAGGGAGGGGTGCTTTTTAAGGTGTCTCAGAGTAGCTGATTTGAGTATTGCCGTATTCTTTGAGTATACCCTGTGTGTGATATTACTTGCACAACTTTTATTCAGTAGAAAATACTGAAGAATGAAAGAATGTTTATTTAACCTTGACATAAAATACTGAAAATGTGCCAAGAACTCCCAAAAATACACTATCAAAATAAAAACAAAATAATTAAAATTATACTTCTTGTTTCTCATGTGTCCCAGACAGTTTCTACCTTTCTTTAGGAAGAAACTGGAATTTTAAATAATAGGTTTTCTTTGTTGTGGGTAAGCTGCCTTTTCCTTTCCATCTGATGAAAAGTTAGTAGACCAGTACTGTTTTTATTTCTGTGGCAACTCAGGTTGGAAATCCTTTGCATTTTATTTTTTCTAAAAAAAGCTTACATTCCTGTCTTCTGTATCGTTTGCTGTGACATAAAACATGATTGAAGGGTTTTCCTTCCTTCCATGCTATCAAAGTTTAGTATTTCTAGTATATGTGTTAATTAGTACAGCCTCTTCCTCAGGTGATATTATAGTTGTGAAGTAGTCTGCACCTTTTAACATAACATTTTCTAATTTAAGGGGTTTTTTCAAATGTTTTTTTTCCAGATTTTTGATGTTTTCTTGTTTCTTTCATGTCTCTAGCTAACAAGGACACTAGTTATGACAAGTATGTCTTCTGAGTAAGTATTAACCATTTTGACTATTTAGTCAGCCCACCATTTAAATTTCAATGTTGATATTTTTTTTATGCCTACAGAAAGTAAAATTTAACTTTGGGTTCTGCACTTTATTTCATTCTGTATTCTAGCTATAAACTTGTTCATACATGTATATGTAGTTGTTATTTGTACTGTATATGTATGTCTTTGTTGCTGTGGTGGAGACTGAAGTAGATCCATAGGTGAGTTCAAAAGGGCTTCAGAGCAATAAAAGTAAAATTTTAAGCAAGTTTTGAATTTATCTGAAGGAAATGTGAATAGTTGTATGTGGTAAATGGTTCAGCCCAGCACAGGCTTTTTGCCATACATTTTAATTATTTCTATTTAAAAAGTCATAACCTGAAACATCAGTTTAAAATGTTTTATTTCATACGAATAGTTGCAGAATAAATATCAGTTGTAGGCTTTTTAGTGACTTAGTTTCAAAACATCAGAAGCAGCTGCCACTGCATATTTTGGGGGAGAGTTAATAATTTTCTGGCATGCTCTTATCATTCTCTTAAAAGTCTTAAAGCGTAAGGAACATCCAACAAAAACATGATTCCATATTTTATACTACACTTGCTTACAGTTTTTGAATTCTTTTTCAAAAGTCCAGATATTTATACTACCCAAAAATCTGTTTCAGGTTTGATGTAGCTAAATGTTGACAGTTACATGGAAATATATACTCAGAAACAGCACTTAGTGGCTATGCTTTCAGAAGTTTTTGTAAAAGGTTTTCAATAGCTGTTAACAAGTGTACTTATATATGTCAGAAACATTAAACGGAATTAATATTGTTCTTCTATTTGATGTGACTGGATGCTAGTAACACCAGAACTATAAAAGTCATGCACAATGCAGAATCACTGTGGAGGAGGTAAAGATCACCACTACAGTGCAGATAGAAGGGGAAAACAGAGGCTGTGGTCTACCTGAAACAGGAGAATAAATGCTGGATGAGCTGGGGAATTTATTTTGTTTTTAAAGAGGTCATTAATATATTATTTCTTTCATGTTCTTATATGTTGACTTCCCCACTACCCAATTACTGTTTCATTAAATTAAATTGTTGGGGGATAACAATTGCTTTTCTTCAGAACCTTACCATCAAGACTGCTTTTGGCTGACTGCAATTGTAGGCATTCATCTGCATGTAAATGGGTGAAGGGAAAAGGACTCCTTCTGAAACAACTAAAGAACAGAAAACACTCCTCCAAAACACAACCCTGTGGTCAAAATCCAATTCTACTACCCAGTAACTATAGCCTCAAAAGTGGTTCAGTAGAATTTACATTTTAAGGTGCATGAATTCAATGGTTTCATGGCATTGGGTTTTGCAGTGATATTAGATGCTGCTCACTGATTCACAGCCACACAGCTAATTTTCTGATTTAAAAATTCAGTGAAATTTTGCTGTAAATTTTCATCCACCAATTTTTTGCAGCTACCTCAAGTAGAAACTGGTAAGTTGCATGCAGTTTGTAAGATGTCTTCGATTCAAGACTTGTACAACAGAATTTTTTCTTCTCCTTGTAAGGAATTTTGTATAGACACAGGAAGAACTTAGAAAAGGTTCACTTAAAGCATGGAGCGTATGCAGTCCGGGCAAGGCCAGCCCGTATGGGTTGCAATGTTGCAAAAACATTCACTTGTATATCAAGCTAAAGCTCATAAAATGAAGAGGGAATACTAAGAATTCTAGTAACAATCAAAGCTATATAGCCAAGGCCAGAATTCATACTGGAGAGAGGGTTAGTCATAGGATTTTTTTTAAGTGTCTCAACATACAATATCACCTTTTGATTTTATTATGAGATTAATTTGCTGCACTGCTTTCACTATTAATTTTTTTGTTATAAACTTCTTGAAAAACAGATTGCTCCAATTTTTGTAAGAATTTTTTTTGCAGTTTCATTTGGATTCTGCTAAGTAATGTTTGTTTTAGCTGGGATATTTTGGGAGTTTTAAGAGACTTCCTTTCTGTGGAGTTAAATGTAGTGAGAACAAAGCAACCCCAGAGGCTTCTGGAGATGCTCTGAGTGCACTTGCATTGTGTGTGCGATTAACTCACAAGTTCTGCCTTAACGGATCACCACTGTGATAGGTGTGACTGTGTTCAAGGTTGTGCCTTGTGTTGCATGGACATTTCCAAGTTAGTGTGAGGAGCAGAGAGGCCACCAGAATTTTGCTTTCATTTAAAGGTATTTAAGGATCATTTATAATTGTAAAGTAATCATTAATAAAAGCAGTAAATTATTATCATGCAACAACTTTTCTCTAGTGATACCAAGATCTTCCTTTTTTCATAATTATATATTTATGTGCTCCTGTGTAGCTATGTAGAGAGCTCAAATTAGAAATTCAAAATTAGAATTCCAGTTATGGATGACCATTCTGGACTTTAGATCTTATTTTATATATATTTCATTATAATTGTATTTAAAGATAAGTGAATTTTTAATTGAAACATTGGCATAGATATGTAGGTAGAAAGCCAGATAGAACTTTATGGCTTCTCTCTAGATTTAGACACAGCATTATTCAGATGCTAAAAATTTGGTGTTTCCTAATGAAAAACTGTTAAATGTGCTGTGTCTAAATCTGTTGTGTTGGGCACAAACAACTTAATAGATAATTGTGCTTTCAAAAGCTTTTATTTTAAAAAGATAGATGTGAGGGGCTAAAGGGCTTTGATCTGCAAGTAGATGTGGTTTTGTGATAATGTAAAAGGGTCTGTTTGGACTCTGAAGAGGCTAATGAATGTAAGGCTAGCAAGTGGGTAGAAGACTTAGTGAGAAAAGGATAAAAAATGTTTAGTAGGGAAAGAAATGAGGTGAATTTGAATTAATTTGTGTTGTGCATATATGCTTTTATAATTCTGCCTTCCTCCATTCAATATTGCATGGGATTTTTTACCTTTTCTTCTTTTTAGGAAGGAAAATACAGTAATACAGATTGTGAATAAACTTGGAGACTTTTTGTTGTCAAATGCAGTGTGTGAAACAACAAGTCATGTAGTTACTGGGAGTCCTCGTCGTACCTTGAATGTTATGCTGGGAATTGCTCGTGGCTGTTGGATTGTTTCTTATGAATGGGTAAGAAATGCTTTTTAACTTTACTAAACAATAAATTAAATTTAGTTTGTATAGGTGAAATACCAGTCATGCTTGTGCCCACATTACATGCAATAATGCCAATTTTAACTTATTCAGACTTACTTAGAGTTAGTTCAGTTAGATGAAATTTGTCTTTGTGAAGATCTGTTAGTTTGTTGCAGTTTTTCAGTGCTTACTTTAACCAAAGTATTCCTGTCTTGTACCCCATTATCTATTTTAGGAAGGTCCAAGGACTGATCTCATGGATGAGAAACTCATGTCCCATACATTATTTTTGGACAGATTAATTTCTGCTCAACATTAGTCAACTCACATTATTCAGACTGAACTTTTTATGTCCTGATATATTTATGTTATGTTCTGAAACATGTATTGTGTAAAAATTAGTAAAAATTAAGGGAAATTCTTGGATATTTCACTGCAAGTGGGAAAAATGTCAAATAGAAATAGTAGTGACTGGGTGGGGAACTTATCTGTCAGCCCAAGCTTAAACCATCTCAACTGCTCACTGTAATAATAAAGATTAACCACTCAATCTAACATTGCAGATGACAGTTTCTCAGCTTTCCTCATGCTTCCAGAGCTGTAAAACATAGATGTTGAAATTTTTATGGAAATATCTCTTCATTTTATACAGAAAAGGGTTATTGAATAACTAAATTTCTTTGTTTCCTCTTTCTTACAAATACTTTAAAATTTACTTGTTGGGCAGAAAATAAACTGCTGCCTTTTGTTTTTCAAGATGTCTGGCACTTACCAGTATGAAGCTTGTCCTATATGATATATATGCAGTTATCTGATGTTGCTGTGATAGACTGCAGGTTTTTCAGAAGTTCTTTATGATTAATTTCCCTTGAAATAGAGGCTTTGCATCTTTGGTCACCTTTAGCATCCAGTAATGTGCCTTTTTGGCAAAAGAAGACTAATAGCATCCTTGGCTGCATTAAGAGGAACATATTTGAGCAGAGGGTTTGGAGAAGAACATCTCCACAGACTCATGCCAGCCTTCTATAGGATTCCTTGCATCTATTAGTTGAATACACTGAATTATCTGTCCCACACTTAGCTTTGTATGGAGCTTTAAACAAGTCACAACATAATTGTCACAAGTTACTTTTTCATAACAGGGTGCTCAAACATGAAAGATGCATTCTTCCTTGAGAAAAAGCTTCAAAAAACTGCTAAGATAGCTAGAGATACAGATAAGTACTACAAAATAGATTCCTGTTTTTGTACGTGAGGCAGTATTGGATAATTAGCATTCCTGCAAGTGCTGCTCTAAAATTTCATTGCCCATTTTATGCCTTGCACTTCTGTGAACGAAGGCATGGTGAAAATATCTGCCTATGCTCTTCACAGACCAGTATTGATTGAAAATGTTGTCCTCCTGTCTTATGGTCTACCTTGTAGACTCTTCATGGGATCATCTATATCCCTCATATAATACCAATAAGTTGAATGAAATTGTTCCAAGTATTAGTTTGTCGCTGTAGATGTTATTGGATCAAATCCTGATGCTGTTTTCACTCATTTTATTAAGCTGCTATTTAGACAAAATTCTGAAGTTACTAGGAGAGGCACATGAGAAAGAACTAGAGACAAACTTCAGATCTTCAAATCAAAAGTTTGTTTGATCTTTTAGTATCTGCTTATCTGAAAGATTGCTGTTCTAAATATTTTTAGAACTGTGCTTATCTCATTCACAGAGACTGGGTCTAACTTTGCCCATAAATGTGTATTCCCTCTATTTATTTGTTTGTTTGTTTGTTTAGCTGAAATAAAACAGTGCTTTGAACTTTTTAAAAAAAAATTTCTTCACCTGGTTAAATCATTGAATCATATAATATAAGAGCATTATTGTCTTATTTGATATTGTGTCAGTAGCATACTTTTGCCATCTTTTTACCCAAACTGGTTAACTACGGAAGAGAAAACTGAAGCCTTACCTAGCCAGAATGAGGAATTCAGTGGAAAATAATTTTCTCCTTTTATTGATGCTACATAACTGAATTCTTTAAATGTAATCAATCCTACCATTAGTATTTTTACTGATAAAATAGTTCAAATTGGATAATTAAAATAATCAATCTGGAAAAAATTTGCAGTACCTTATAAACATGGTATTACTTTTAAGCAGTGATGATTTCTTTTGGAAAATGTTTATCAGCATTTGAAGAAGCTATTTACCGCTGCCTTTTGATTCGTAATGTGGACATAATTTATGCTGAAGTGGTTTTTTTCCTAAGAAAAACTAAAAATATTATTTTTAGAGATGGATGCTGGAGAACTACCAAATTTACCATCAGACATTTAATCTTCATAGCACTCCATTTACATTTTCAAGATGAATTATTCAAGTACAGATACCATATGATCATTCAGTGTGCTAGCTGGATAGGTGGGAGATCTTAAATAATAACTAATCAAGTAGGGTGTTTTCAGACCCATTGAGCTAACTCTTTTGTAACTGCACAGTTGAAAACTTCTAGATAGCTCTTTCTTCTCAACAGAAACACACATTCTGAAGTATTTCAGCTAAGAATAGTATTGCAAATCATAACTTTTTAAATTGCATGAATCTAAAGAATTTTTTGGTGTTGCTTTGAAAATAAAACTGCTTGAAAAACTGCCAGTCAGAAGCAAACTTTCAGTGATTTGGAATGGAAAGCTCTTGTCTTTGTTTTCATGAAAACTGAATGTTTTAGTGAATGGTGACCTAATTATTTACTGCAGGACCTGTTCATGAACTCACTATCCAATTTTCTTTTTATCTAGGAAAGTAGATATGATGCCTTTGTACTCAATTCCAGAACCATGATAGACAAGCATTAATCCATCTTTTGTTAAGACAAACAAATTACATTTCTAAACAAAATTCTGTAAATACTACAAGGGTTGATAAAGGTCATTGCTGTAGAATTGGCCTGGAAAATGAAATAGGATTACTTAATCATAACTAATCTTTTGGGTTTATATTTTAATCTATTTCAGTTGTTTTCCAGCTACTTTTGATACAAACATAATTTTGGTATTATAAGGACGTGATGTATATGTAATACAGCACAGCACATCTGTTCCTGCTCAAGTTTATTTATGAAGAATTTCTTCTAATGTTGTATGTCTCTGAATTTTATTCAAAGTTACAATTTTCTTGGTTCAGTTAAAGTTGATTTATATTGTGATTAAGGGAAATTACATTAACAAGTTTCTTTTACATTCAATAAATATATGCAGCTATAAGTTTTAAGCTAAGAGGCTTTGATATTTTTAGTGTAAATTGTTAAAAGTAGTTGTAAAAACTATGCAGAGGTACCACCCTAAAATTTATAACTTACAATCCTAAGTTGCAGTCTTAACTGTATTTTTTTAAGAAGTTACAATACTTAGCTGAACACTGCAATGCATTATTAGGTTTTGAATATTTTTTAAAGGTCATTGATTTATTAATGAGATTAACTCTTATTTTTATGTTTGGTATAATATAAAGGCTGTAGAAATTATTTTCTCTTTTTGCACAGCTGTAGCATTTTCAAATATTTGATTGTTCTTTTTCTAAAAGTAAACATAATATTCTTTGGATGTTTTATAATCAAGTTTAGCAATAAGTCTAAGGATATGCTGCTTTTTATTGTCAGCAAAAAAATCACTCTTCATTTACAAGAGCCTGAAAAATTTGATACCTCTCCTCACAAGTCAAACATCATTTGTCACTTCGCACAAGGCAGCAGCTTTTGTAGAAGTTCACATTAGATGTTGTTGGTTTCCCTGGAAGTAATCAGGCATAAGATACTTTGGACTGAAAACTACAGAACTTATTGAGAAAATAATTTTGTTATGAAAACTGAATTTACAATTTACTACTTGTAGCAACAGTTTTAGGGCAAAAGAGTTCTTTACAGAAACTTATTTTCTTACATGCAATTAGGTCATTTTATAAGGTTTACATTGCTAGTTTATGATCAATTTGTTCAGCTTAGAATTTTCCATTTGTGAGCTGTAACATTGTAAAGGATAACTTTACTACACTCAGTATATATAATGCCAGTTTTTATGTATGGGAAATATTTCATAGACTTGTTTACAATTTTAAAAGGGAGAATTTTATCATCTAAATTAAAACTAATAATATATGCACTTGTATGGCAGAGTATTTTAGTTATTGTGAATCAAGCATGGGAATAATTTCAGACACTGATGAAATTCAGCTAGTTCTGAGATGAATAATGACAACTGTTTAATAGTGCATGGCTGTGCTAATGTCTCCATCTATTTGAAATTGCTAGAGAGCTATTAAGGGAAAATATGAGAGAGGTAGAATTAGCCTAAGACAGGGGTTGCCTTTCTGATAAATTCCACATATCTCGTTTTGTGTATATTTGTGCTTGTTCAGTTAGCTTCACTTGCTCTGGGAGCAACAGGATGTCTCAGTGGTTAGTAACATTACTTTTTTTGAACTTAAGGGTGCCAGATGGCAGCTACAGAAGAGACATTGTGAAGCTTATATACCTGTGAAGGGGAAAAGTTGTTGAATTGAGTGACAGTGAAGAAACTTGTCAAAGATCTGTGTTTTACCTCTGTGAGAAGCTTCATGGCTCATCACTTATAAAACCAATAAGGAAAAGAATCTCATCTTCCATCAGAATGGGCTTCAGAATTTAGACTGTCTACAAATTAGGAGTAGAATGTTCTTTATATGACTCAAGGGCGTAGCCAATGTAGGAACTTTATCTTTTTCCATTTTCCCATTAAGACAATGCTTTTAAGAATTGAGGGATAGTATTTGAATACTCTCCCATGCAGCTTCTAATATTATAGTAAACCAACTGCAAGTTATGATAAATTGTTCTGAAAAATGCTTAGAAAATCAATCCATAAAAAATGCTGGATGGAGTAGTTTGGATGGAAAGTTTTACCAAAAAAAAAAAAAAAATTATAATACTGTATTTCAGAAATTGGAAATACAACCATTTTAAGTTGGTAACCAGTTGGCGCTGATCCTGACGGGAGCAGAAGTCTGCAAGTGGGCCACAGTTTTAGGGTTACTAGTCTCTAAAGATGGTATTGATCCAGTGTTTCAGAGCTCAGTTGAACACAAATGATTATGTATTTTCTAGAGAGTTAGTGTTCTGCAGTCTTTTTTTGTGCTCTAACATATGACACTGACAAAGGAGGATACCACAGAGAAAGAAATTGAATTATTCTTCTTTGCAGGATGATTTATATATATAATGTGCATTTTATGCAATAGTTGCATAATCCTTGTAGTAGTAGGGGTCCAGTACTGTTTGACATCTTCATTTATGAGTTGGATGATGGGGAAGAATGCGCCCTCAGCAAATTTGCAGATGTGAGAGAAACAGAAAACTGTGAGGAGTGTTTGATATGCCAGATGGGTGTTTCTGTTCAGATGGACTTTGACAAGCTGGAGAAATAAGCCAACAGAAACTTCATGAAATTCAATGATTACTGAACTGAGAGAACAGAACTCATATATTGTAACTTCCATTTTCAAATTTTTGCTCTGCAATATGTGATTAAAAATAGTTGAAGTTTCTAATATCCTCACAGTGTTTTAAACTAATATAGCTATGCGTAGAAGTACTGACTGATATTTCAATGGTTTGTTTTAGTTGTAAAATTTGTATCTTTCTGATTTATTGATTTTTCAGCAAATCATTTGGTTTGGATAAATGAAATAGCAAACCAGCTATTCTAACAGCACTTTCACTTCTAATTACACATTCAAAAAGTTTATTTTAGAAATTTTAAGATTCTGCTTACCACTTATTTTATTTTAGGTTCTGTGGTCTTTGGAATTAGGCCACTGGATCTCAGAGGAACCATATGAACTTTCATCCAGCTTCCCTGCAGCTCCTGTAAGTTTAATGGTCCTTTAAGCTTGTGAACCTTCTTTTGTTTATCTGGGAAATTATTTTCCCTCTAAATAGGTTTTGCGAATAAGAAAGCCTACTAGAAAAATATTTTTTAAAGCAGATACTGCAAGGAATTATTTTCTTCTTCACTATTTTTTGAAATGTATGCAAAACCTTTGGTACATGTGGAAAATGCAAAATATTGGTTCACTAATTAACACCTTAATAAACCAGCATCTTACTGAAGTATAAATACACTTTAATTTTATTTCTTTCTGTACCTGTATACAAACTGGAGGGGCATATTATTGCCAAATGGAAAGATCTGCAGGTCAGGGACTCAATTTTTTTGGCCCAGAAATTACTTGGGCAATGGAAAATTACTATGGTCTTCTAGAACTACTAAGCTGGAAAAAATGAAGTATTTTTCCTGCCTCTAATAATCATTCTCAAGTACTGAATTGGGAACTAGTGCAAAAGAGGAAATGTGGGGGCATGATGTACCTGTGTAGACTTCAGTGCACTTCATGTACTGTAATTTATTAAACAGGAATTCTATTTTGGTTTTAAAAAAAGTTGAATCCTAGCTGGCTACTAGTCAATAATTCCAATAATTTTCCCTCCACTAAATTAATGTCTGCAATTTATTTCTCAAAGTTTCATACTGGCTTTGAAGAAAGTACAGTTAATGGAGTATGAAATTTATTTCTACTGTAATTTTATTAACTGTTAGGAACTTCTGTTTAGCATTCTTTCTAAATCTATAACTAATGTAAATTTACATATTCAACATGAAGCTTTATTTCATGACTGTAAGTTGTATGTTCTCAAAGTTTAGGGAAACTGAAGCAGTTATTCTCAAATAACCCTAAAGAAATTAATTATCCATTATTTCATATTTTTTTAATAAAATTAGAAAGTAGATTGTGGTATATAGCAAATATAGTAAGAATTGTAAAATTTAATGTGAAAAATAAATAAGAAGCATGTTCTTTTTTCCACTTCTCTGTATTTCTATGAAAAAATCTACACTGAATTTCATGTTAAGTTGCTTTGAATTTTCTGTTTCTTTTCAGACTATCTTGATTACAAAGTATGCTATCGGTAACAATGTACAAAGCATTGTTTAGAAGTGCTTCCTCTTGGGGTTGTTTTTGAGACTCCATTTAGAGGTTTTATTCTGGAAGCAGAAGTAAGGAGAATTTGAGAGATGGTGAGAATGGGAAATTGAGGGAAGTTAGGGTTGTGCTAAGAACCTGAATCACTTCTTTTTGCAATGTACTGTTCTTGCAAAGGAACAAAGTTGGAGTCCAAGGCAATATTTCTATCACCATTCCAATCATTCCCTTATTTAGTCCCTCTTCATTTCTTACTGTAGCAGATACCTTATTTTTTTTAAGATACAATTATTATTTGATACAGAATGGTTTTTTTTATTTGCTTTTTTTTTCTTCTTTCTTTCCTGCTTCCTAAAAAGTACTTAAGAGAAAATGGAAGTACATTCTAGTTTCACATACTGTTTATTTGATTACAGGAAGGAATTAAAAGTAGGGGTTACCTTGCTGTTATGTTTTACTTGTTTGTACCAAGTCCAAAGCAGCTTTTGCAGCCTTCTGTTTCCTATTCTTGCCTTCCTTCTGACATGTCCTTCTGTGGCTTCACTGTGGTGTTCGGAGTTAAAGCCATGCAATCTTCTTTAGATGAAATGCCATTTAAAGACATATACACTCTAAAATTTTACACTTGTGTTGATAAATTGATCTTTTTTGCCCCCAAATTAAGTCTCATTAAACAATTGATCCATTCATTGTCTACATCAGTATTTTTGATTACTTTCCCAGAACAGTCATCAGCAAGCTTCAGATTCTATAAACTTTTCAACAAATCAAGACTAGCCATGCAATATTCAATTATTTTTGTCATACAGGGTTTTCTTACTAAAATAAAGTTAGCGTTAACCAGAAGTTAACACTGCTTTTCTTCGCCAGGTTGAGCATTCAGATGCCATCATGGCTTTTGAGAACATTTTGGAGGACTTTTGTTTGTTTGTTTTGTTGGCTTTTATTTCTCTTTCCTTTTATTATTGGTGTCGATATGTTTAATATCGCAAATGTTGGGAGTATTTTCTTTAGTTGTCTGATTAAATGTAGCAACACAGGAAATGCAGTAATGTAGACTCAGCATTTCTATTAAATTTCATAGAATCTTGAAGTATTATAGATTACCAGGGACGTCTGAAGGTTGTCAACACAGGTCTCCAAGGGACATGTCCAATCCATCCTTCTGGTAATAAATGAATAAATGAAAACGAAATTCACTTTCTCCAATTCCAAATTGTATTTACTGCCTGCTGTCCCTGTCTCTTGTCCCATAGCAGAGCACCTCCAAGAAGGGTCTGGCTTTGTCCTCCCTATGTCTTCAGTCAGGCTGTTGTAGGTACCATTAAGGTCTCCCCTTCCCTTTTTCTCCTCTAGGCTGAAAGATGACAACTCTTTAGGCTTCTCTTGGTATGCTGTGTGTTTGTTGGTATGTGTGACCTCTCTTCTAGCCTTGCTGTCTAAGACATTTCTTGGAAATTCATGAAAACAATTTGGGAAGTATTTTTTTTTTTTAGTTTGGGATATGTATATCCTTACAAGTTTGCTATGAAAAACAATAAAATACTAAACAGTAATTTCAAATACATTTGAGATTATTTTATGGAACTCTTCAGACAGTGACTGAAGAGTTCCATAAAACTGTTAATTTACAGTCTTTAGGTTTATGTAAAATCAGATCATGAAGTAATATTAGAAATATTTCTTGTCTCTGTTACACTTAGTAATAATGGCAGATTTTCACTGAAGAATGGAAGAATGGTGGTGGTGGTGTGAGTGGTGGGTACTCTGACAGCACCTTTAATGATTGTCAATATAAAAAACATTTCGCAAAACTGTTTAATTATTATTCCTCAAAACTATCTCAAAAACTCAATTCTCAAAACAATTTACTGTTCTCAAGATTGAACCATAGAATCATCAAGGTTGGGCGACACCTACAGGATCATCCAGTCCAACTGTCTATCCAGCACTTCCACTATAACCCCTAAACATCACCCAGCAGATCCAAATGCTTCTTGAACACCTCCAAGGATACTGACTTCATGACCTCTGGGCAACCTGTTCCAATACCTGACCATTGTAAAAATGAATTTTTTTTTTTCTAATATCTAATCTGAATCTCCCCTCTCTCAGCTTAAGGCCATTCCTTCTGGGCCTGTCACTGCTGGCACAGTAGAAGGGGAGCCAGACCCCACCTAACTACAATCTCCTTTCAGGTGATTGTAGGGAGTGAGGTGCCCCCTGAGCCTCCTCCATCTAAACAACCCCAGATCCCTCACCCCCTCCTCATACAATATTTTTTTAGACCCTTCACAATCCTTGTTGCCCTTAAAATACCTTTTGTTAAGTTAGCTTTCAGAAACATGTCCGGGATTTTTGTTTTGTTTTGGGTTAAGTTCATGCATTGTAACTAATTCAGTCAACTGCTGAAATCAAAGTTTTACAAAAATATTAGGCAAAGAATAAGCATGAGAATTAAAAGCTAAACTTAATTTGGAGAAAAACCTCCACTAAATTATTGTGATGTATGAAGAAACATCTTCTCAATCTGATTCACAGTGTTTAGTACACAGTTTTAAAACATATAGTAATAAAATGAAGGGGAGAAAAAAAACAAAGATCGCCTAGTAGAGTAATTTATTCACATTGTGGCATACATTAAGGGCCTACCTACAGAGAACTTTTAGGGAGGAGCCCTAACTTTACTGAAAGAAAACCCTAGTGTGACCTTAGATAATTTTCAGATTATTTTTCTTCCTGTTCTTAAAATGTAGTCATTTATATCTTAAGTCACAAGCATAAATTTAATTGTATCAAAGAACATGCATATGTTTTTCAGTTAGGTTATTTTTACAAAACATATAGATATATTACAGCACCAGGTGATAAATGATTGTCATAGACAACCAGACATCTGGTGTTAATGCCGTTGTCTCAGTTTATAAAATACTGGTCAGTTATTTTATAGGTAAATGACAAGGGAAGAAAAAAAGTGCATTCTTCATAAAAATGTATAGGAATACATGCTATATTGTAATTTGTAGGGATTTTCTGTAATTTAAAGACAGTGACTGAAATGGACTGAAGAAAATTATGGTATTTGTAAACGATAGTTCCCAAAAATAAATGCAAACTATTGAAATGCTATTTGTCCTCAGTTAAACATCGTCATATAGGCTATTGGAAAAAAATCCTCAAATAAGTGTAAGAAATTGTTTAGGAGACTATGGGGCAAAAGAATGTATTCCCTAAGTATAGGATTGAGCTAATTACAGAATATTTTTTTTTATGTACATAAAGGGCACACATGACACAGAAAGATAAATAGTTCTAGATCTAGCTCAGTGTTTTATATTAATGTTTTAAGTTCAGTGGTGAGGCAAAATGCATATTCCTAAAACTATTTTAGGGTTTTTTTCACTGTTCCAGTTATTTACTAACACATACATAACATAAATGGTCAGTAAAACAGAGTCCTTAAGTTGTCTGATGGTTTCTTGGAGGTTCTTTTTATTGAGTCATTTGGCCAAATCACTGTTGTATCAGGTGATGCTTTAGAGTTTAGGTCTGGTTGAATAATATGAGCTTTAGCTGGTCAAAGCGATTGCAGTTCAGGAACTGTACTGAACTGACCCCTTCAGAACACTAGTGCATGTTTCTGGGCTTGAAAAAATGAGACAAGTTGCTTGGTAAAATAAGTCTTTGAAGACTATAAAATACATAATTCACATAAAGACAAAGCATTTAGAAATCTGCTGGTCGAATCATCATAGTTGTAGCTTTGAGAGAGTATCCTGAGCCCTTCCAGTAGTACCACTTGATCCCATTAAACTTGTTGTTGTTCTGTCGTAATGGATAATACATTCCATTGAGGTTAGAAGGACCACATGCGTCAAACCACCATCCTGCAAGACAGAAGACAAACATCAGCAGAAGTAATTCTCAAAATAGTATTTAAGGTCACTTTGTTTCTGGAACTGAGAAAGAAAACTAAACCCAGTTTTTTGTTCTTATGATTTGGAAGCGTCAGTATAAAATCCTTGCCCCAAACTCAGGAAGGAAATGTATTTATGTATCAACTACATATTATTGAATCTTATGCAATATATTGTATTTGAAAATTGAGAAGGGAAAGTTCAATCAATTTATTATCCACATCAAACATTTCTCACAGTCTGAAGGCAGAACACAACTTGAACTATAACAATACTGAGTTGCCTTTGGTTTTATCTACTCTTTGGCAAACTCCTGTTCTTCACACATTTAAACTCCTTTCTTAATTTTTTCTAGAGGAATTATTCAGTACTCTGGGCAGGTCAGTTCAAGACCTCCTGGAATTTCATAAGAAGGAAAAGGAGAAAAAAACAGCCCAAATGTATTTTGCATCTTTATAGTCCTGACCTGTTAGTAGGTCATAATAAAAAATTCTTTTTATTAATAAAATAATATTTTTGTATTTCTGTTATGGTGGCGATAGTGTGTGTGTTCTGTTTTGCAGGGCAGTACTCCAACTATCCTTTTGGATAAACTGAAGCTGTCTTTTTTTCTTGCAGCCTGTGCTATAGGAAAATGAACAATTGCTTAAGAGATAACAGGAAGAGAAGCCAAATTTACAAGACACTTGTTTACATTTCAGAATGTAGAATTCCAGATTAACAAATTATATAGAATTACTTGTGTAGTTGAAGATAAAAACACCACCTAGAATTCAAATATAACTAGTGAAAAATCATTAGAAAAGTGTAGATATATCTGTGGTATATCTTTATCACTTCATAACTATATTGAAATACAGAATTAAATTCTTGTACCCTTCTGCTGCACTTGCAGCACCCAGGAGTTCCTGGGGGTTTTTCCTTGGGTAGTTAGGGAAAGGGCTTGTGCCTAAAGAATCAGGAGCCATTTCACTGACAAGCTGAATCTCTGAAAGAGGGTTTTTGCAGGGAGTTGTGTTTTCATCTCTGAGTGTACCTCATTCCTCAGAAGAGGAATCTGCTGTCTCTGATTAGTTCCACAATTACAGACTTTCTTGTACCTCAACTTCAGGCACTTATTTTCCCTCCAGTTTTAACTTCTCTTGTTTTATTTTAACTAACTTTTGTCAAATGGTAAAATATTTCATCTGGAGTCACTATACTAGTATATCTATCCATGAGTGTTGAACTTTTTTAATGATCAAAATTTACTAAGTCAAAATTATCACTATCTCATAGACAATTTCAGTGCCAATAAAAATAGGAAGACTGAGAAACATAAAAACATTCGTACCTCCTGTTAGCATTTGTGAACATTTGCAAATACATTTGTCATTGTCTGCATCCTTTGTGCTAAAATCATTTCCTGGTTGGCTTATACTACTTATTTTGCCTGCTGTCCCAGTAAGTCCTTTAAGGTAAATCCTGTAGAAGTGAAAAATGGAAAAACAATTATTATGTGGAAGTTGATGGTAGTTGTCTGCAAAATAATGATGGAATAATTTGCAGTAAATATCCTGTTCAAGTAGTTTAATTCTCTTCTGGCCAATGTACTGCTGTGAGCTGTTTTTCAGCACAATGTTTTCATACGAGTAGAAATGGTCAGCACTATATTCTAATGAACATGTGTTTGTTCATGTCATAATAGAAGAAAATGAGAGCAAGTAGATAGTAACTTCTAAGGCTTTTCATACAGATCATACATTTGTTAATACTGAAAGTGCATTGTTGCTCTTCAGTGCAATAGTACGTGCAGTTATTTTTATTACATTCAAATATTTAAACCAAAACTTTTTATTCCTATTCTGTTGTTCATACAACACAGCAATTTAGCATTACAACCTCATTTATATGTGAGGTAACAGCCTTACCAGGAGTATTGATTATGAGCTAGTGAATGATATTTTAGAAGTTTCTCAGTATTCTCATATCCCTTTCCACTGTCTTAACTACTCATCCTTTTCACATTGTTCATAAATTTTGTTAGCTCATCAAAAGTATTTCAGTTTGCTTCATTTCCCTGGCAAGGTACATAAAGCCTTTCACTGAGGCTGCTACTGTTGGGATCTGCTTGCATGGGTGCCAGTGCAGTCTCAGTAGGGAGAGACGGGGCACTAAACTGGGCAGGACAATTACACAACTATTCCTGTGTTACCTTGAATTGGGAGAACTTGAACCCTCTGCTCACACAGTATCTTTTCAGTGATTGCATTTCTGTATCAAATAGCTTATGTTTCTCAGAAGTATTCTATTTGTTTAAAGAGGATATCTAACTCTGAGGATAAGTAACTTGTTCCCCAATTGGTTTATATCTTGCATATAATTTTCTGCTTATGATAGTAATGGTCTTCGGTAGTTTAACAGATTATTTTAACCCATTTTATATTCCCTATTTTAAAATATAATTAATTCATTTTTATTCATTTAGGTTTCAAAGGATCAGTTCATTACAGATTTTCTTTAAATTACCTTTTAAAAAAATCACTGTTGTTTCTTAAGATGAGTTCAAAATTATGTAAGCCAATTTCTAACCTAAATTATTTTTAAGGTTCCAAGTATAATATATTAGCCTAGGCTGGGTCTTCAAATATCATCTGAAGTCTAATATAAGCATAGTATTATTTACTTATGATTAATAATAATTTTTTTAAGGTACAGCTTAGTATAACAGAAGATGAGAGGAAGTGGATGGAAATTGAAATGAGACATTCTTACTGGATATCAGAAAAAGTTTTTACCTTGAGGTAAAACAAGTAGGTTGTGCCATCTCTACCTCTGGAGGTTTTCAAAATCCAAATGAAAAACCCTGAGCAACCTAGTTTGACTTCATAGCTTTGATATCAGGAAGTTTGATTCAAACAAAGTCCATTCTGATCTCAGTTTAATATGAAGAAATTTCAGGTTTCTGGGCCAACTCATAATCTTTCCAGCATTCAGAATGTATTAATCTTTTTAATGCAATAGATCACAGAATCATAGAATTGTTTGAGTTAGAAGAGACCTTAAAGATTATCTAGATCCAACCCCTTTGCCATGGGCAGGGACACCTTCCACTAGATGAGGTTGCTCAAAGCCCCATTCAGCCTGGCCTTAGCACTGCCAGGGATGGGGCACGGAAGATATTCTTAACTGAATACTTTCTTAGGGTTTTTTTCTTTTTCATAATTTAAATATATTCTTTAAACCACTCCACTTTATGATTAATTACTTTTTTAATTGCATATTGTAATAAAATTGCTTTTACCATCTTAGTTTTCAGTAAGTATCTTTTACTATTGTAAATGGACAAGGGTAATCATCCATTTTGCAAAAGTTGCCTTTCTAAGTATTTTAAAACATTACTTTAAAAAAAAAATCTGCTGTAGATTCTGACTGTTTCCAGATGAAAAAATATTTACTTTGGAATTGAGACAACTAAATACTACCAAGGCATTAAGATCTAACGTTTTGTGGGGGGCAGATGCTGATAGTTTTGAATTGCTTTGTTTGCATATAAGACATGAGTTGAAATAACAGCATCAGTTCTCTCAGGTGTCGGGTTGACTTTATGTACAACAAATAGTTGCTAGAGATCTTGGAGAAATTCATCTAAATGTAGACAATTTTTCTGTCCAGTCACCCAAAGCTCCATGAATTTGTATGACTCTTACAAAGAAACATTTCATGTAGTAGGAAAGCATCTGTTATACTGTGAAGACTTTAGTTTCTTGTATAATAAATCAAACTATTTATCGAGAACCTGGTGAATGAGCTATGAACTGCCCTTATATTTCAGCTGTGGTTGACACTATTTCAAAATGTGTAATACTATGATACTATTTAAAGTGTATAACAAATACTATGATAATATTTATATAAAATATTTATTTAAAATTTGTATTATTTTTTATTTTAACCAAGAATTAAGAAGAAATTGTGCAGCTTTACATTTTACAGGATTAGAGCATAAAAATAGGTCCATTAAAATTTGGTGTTTAGATTGACAAGTTAGTGGTGGGTGAAATGCACATTTGCTCCATATTCACAGGAGAGTTATTGAGAATCTAAGCCAATGACTTATGGAAGGATAAGGCCACATCACCTCAGTGTGCACTTTATGAACAGAATAGTTCCTAGAAGCCACTGACAAGGAAAATCCTTGCAGTGTAATTCATTTTAGTCATCCACCTTCCAGAAATGTATTTATTGCAGGGAATCAGGATTTTATAGTAACTGCAGGCATCTCCTCTGGAAATTTTTTTTTAGGCAAGAGATGAAAAATGGAGAAAACATTTTCTGAGTGAACTGGAAAATAGTAATGAGTTGTATGAAATAAGGCCATGCACGTACACAGTTTAGAAGGATTACTATCAGATTTTTTTTTTTAATTAGATCTGATTTTTCAGCTTACCTGTATTTTTGTTCTTCACTTGCTAGAGAAAAGTGGTCATACAATGAATATGCCTCATTTCCTTCCCAGTCTTTCAGTTGTATTTTAAGAACATATCGCTTCTGATTAGTCAGTTGAGCCTGTAATTCAAGTTGTATATTTAAATAGCTTTGTTAGGGTAGGTTTTTCTCCTTCCAGTTTGAAATGATCACTTTATCAGTTTTTAGGTTTAATAGTTTTCAGCCTGTCAATTAAGAATTTTACTGTATCCATGGGGATTATTGATCCATAATGTTTCAAAAAGTTGATTTCAGCAAAGATAAGCTCAGGAATCTGAAACAGTGAATCAATATTACTTAGTAGACTTGGAGCAGTTCCTACTGTTGCCACTAGAAACACAAATATAAACATCTCAAAAAATGTAGACATATGATGGAACAGTTGATTAAAAAAAAGTAAGGTTTCTCTTTAAAAACAAACATCACACTTGCAAGTCTGCTTAGGCAAACAACTTATACTACTTTGACATTTTCAAAATGAGAATCTGAGGACAAAGACAACTTTTTAAAGTTGCTTACATTCTAAAGATGCTATAAATATAACTTTAGCATATTAGATTTCAAATAATAAAAGCTGATATTCAGGCTTCAGAGAGCACTGTTTACCATCTTGTACTCCTTCCATGTCCGGTGGAAGTCCACACTGCCATCTTCTCGTTTCTGAATAACTGTCCAACCTCCTCCACCAGTTTCCATGTCACAGTAGACCTACCAGAGTAAGCATGTAACAGCCTAAGTGCATGCAGTCACAGCAAAACAAAACCAGAAATCATGTAATTTGCATCATTCTGTATAGTGGCAAATCGTGTGCAAAACATGAGTTAACCTAAAAATGCAAGTTTTCATAGCTTTCATACAAATTAGTTGTGGTTGTCCACAAATAAATGTGATTGCTCAGTACATATCATACTTAACAGAACACCTTAACAAATTACATTTTTCACTTCTCCATCTCTTTTGTGAGATACATTCAGCTTTCCTATGACTTGTCAGAGTATAGATACTGTTAAATTCAGGCAATGAACAAACTGAAACAATTTTTTTTATCATTGTTCAGTGCCTTTGCAAGTGGTCTGACCCCAAACTTAAATCTAAGTGTATTATCTGAAAGCTGTGTCTTAAAGCCATGTTATTATACAGACTGCGATGCACATCTTCTATGCTTGAACAAAAAGTAACACCTATAAGATGTTTCCAAATGTTCATAAATCACCTTTGAATTTACTAAGTTATTCCTAAAAATTTGAAAAGACTGATACATAAGAAACAGTTCACTGAACTCAGTTTTAGCATACCCAATAAGTGTATCCCTGGCACAGTAAAATCCAAGTTTATAGGTGACTTGTTCAATCAGTCTCCCAGATTAAATCACTTCAGTGTCAGATGTGAAAGGTATTACTGAAAATGCTGATATACTTGGGAAATGCTGACGGGAAAAAAGTCTTTTGAAAATTAATTGGAATTTTGGAGTGATGTTTGGGAGTAGTAGGGGATAAATTAATAATAATTGTTTTTTAATATGAGAATATCTAGTACAAATTTTCCTGAGAAAGGATCTCAAATTGTTGCATCTAATTCTGCTTTTCCAAAACTAACAGAACTTATAACTAGATGAGTGAAGTCAGTGGAGCTAACCTGGTGTATGACAGTACAGTGAAAGTCAAACTGAAGTCAGTATCCCTTTAAATTGCATGTTAGTACCAATACTATCTTTAAGAAAGATATTGAGTTTCTTGAACAAGTATTCCTGTTTGAAGAATTCTCAGTTAATATTTTCTCTTTTGGACGTTTAAATTTTTTTTACCACTTTCTGCCAAGATATTGAAGTTCAAAGCCTTCTTCAAAATCACTTCACATCTTTGAAAATTTTTGAATTCCAGTTTGAGTATTAAACTACATTAACTTCTAATCTGTATTCTAGATCTTTCATCCAATAAGTGGTGTCTTCCCAATTATAGTAGTATAGGCAAGAGCTGACTTACTACACTTAGCTAGGATATTTCATCTGTAGAGTAATTAAATAAATAATTTTAAAATACACTAGGCAAGTATTTAATTATGAATTTGGATGTTTCCTTCTTTATTTAACAGTCCTCTCAGTAGTCTTTCTTCTTGCCTCACTGCTGCTTGTCACTATGCCTATAAATGCCCCAAATCATGACTGAGTAACACTGAAGCTGTAATGTCTTTTTCATCCTCTTCTATGGGAGACTGTCTTATCAGTGTTAGCAGTTATCAGATTTGAGCTCTTTGAACTGTTAGACATCCTGGAAATTCATTGAAAAAGTATGACTTCAGAGAAGCCAGTTTCCTTCTGTGCTTTGGTAGTGGTTAGGTATGTCATTTTGGGAAGTAAAGTGTGCTCCTTACTAAGTTTTCAATATAGTTGGCTCTTTTAGGGTATGTGTATTTTACGTATGTTATACACTCACATCTCTATATAAATCAGAGTATTTACAGTTCAAGCAGTGTCATAGATAATGTTGAAGGGTGTCAGACCTTTGAAAGGAAAAAAAAAATCCTTACAGCTGCAAATATCAAATATATTAGTGTTTCAACAGACTGTTGCTCATTGGAAATCCAAAGCAGATACTGTACATTCAGCTTGCAGCAAACTCTTCAACATCAGAGAATCACAAGACATTCAGTAGATGATTTTTAGGGAAGATAAAATAAGTAAGGAAAAGAGTTGGATAAGGGATTACTTTTTAAAGTTTGTCTAGTGATTAGAATTTAATTGAAAGCAGCAACCTCAGTTTATACTGATGTATGCAATTCCTTACACCTCAAAGTCTAGCTGAAGAGGAGGTATTGTAAGAGAAGATCAGTCTGTTTTAGAAGGCTAACTCATGATGTAATGTATATGTGGAAACTAATTTCCACAGGGGGCTATGAAGAGGGATACTAGGAATGGGCTAAAGCAGATGCAAATACTTTTTTTAAGCATCAATACTAGTTAAAAAGCTGATTTAACAATGATCAAATATCACTGGTTGTAGAAGCAAGAAAATAGAACTGTTTCACCCTTCTCTGAAATATGTTGTTTTTAACTGTGTACAGTGGGAGGCCATGTATTAATTTACTTGAGTGATGGGTTCAGTCTGATATTGCTATTGTAGATGTTAATTGATGGTTTTGAATGTTACGTGCAATTTCCTTTACACCTATCATCTAAATTTCAATTTAGTTGGAATTAATACTTTGAAAAAAATCAATGCTTTAAATAGCACTTTATTTTGTTATAATGAAATAATTTAATATATAAATAGTGAATGACTGTGAATGTCTATCATAAAATATTCCTGTCACAGGCAATATCCATTTTTTTTAAGTGAATGGTAAAACAACTAGCTTTAATAGATTCTATAGATGATTTGAGATAAATGCTGGAGTACAGCAAATTAGATCCCAAAGGAAAAAGCAACATGCTAGGAACTGAAAAAGATAATGAGAAATTGAAGAAGAGATGACCATAAAAACCTCATGTTGATTTTTCTTACCAGTAACAATTTTTAAAAGTTTACATAGATTTGGGAGTGTAATTTTTCCACACCAAAAATTTAATGTCAGTCAACTCTAAGTGTTTCTCCTAACACCCATTACTAGAATAGAACTTTTATGATCTTTCAACCTATTCTAGGTTTTATATTCAAAGAAAGATATGTAACGTTTTATAAAACTAGTAAAAATAGATACCAAGATTAGGCAGGCAGCAGGAGTCTTCAAACAAATGCCAAAAAGAATAAAGAGATTAGCCTCTCAAGTTACAACAAATTAGATCAGGGAGTGTTTGATGTATCTTGTGAACTGCTTCAGTACTTACAGTTCTAGCAGCTGTAGCACTGTAAGAGGGTATTTGGATATAAGTGTTTTCAGACCTACTTTGTAAATGGTAAGGCTCAGGCTGAGTTATCAGGATGAAGAGCCACTGCAGTTTTTATAGCAAAGCAAGTGCAGTTGCCACATCTTTGCAGTGACCCTGTGCATCACTTTCAGCTGTTGTCTGAACACTTAAGTAATTATGTCTAGTGACATAATAAGACATATAATGTCCAGTGACATAGAATGTCTTCTGACTCATTATGTCCAATGATTTTTGTATTCTGCTATCTCTATCTCCTAGAAATGTGACTAGGTAACAACTACAGTCTAATTGGTTCATGAGGTTGCTGTAAGCATAAAACTATTGACTTTCCATAGTTTTGCCTCTGCCGTTTTTCCTTGTGTCAGCAGTCCTTTGGTGTTTTCCTCAGCGTTTCTAAAAGGACTTAGCTTTTGTCCTGGTGCAGAACAGGAAAGTTTGAAAATATTAATGGAATTGAATATTTGTTTTCCTCTCAGTTGTCATATGCAATTCCTTAGTTTTGGATTATGATGGGAGACAAATTAGTAACGTGGGATCAGTTACAGATTACACTGAAGTTGTTTATAAGCCTGCTGGGAGGTCAGAAGGTGTTACAAGAGGAAAAGACGAAAACATAAACAGCAGTGCAGCACTTTTGGCAAATAAAAAAGGTCACTCTGTTTCCTGGTCTGAGTAGCTAGCCACATCATAAACAGTTGAAAATAGTGTAACGTGTTGATTGTCCCTAACCTTCACTTCCCTTGACAACTCCTCTTATGCATTTATATTTGTATAAAAAATCAGCATCAGGTTAAAACTTTTTAGTCTCTTATTTTCAATGTCATATGGTAAGTCAAACCTTCCCTGTCTTTTTCTATCTGAAATGGACAGACTAAGATTTTAATTCTTTAATATTATTGACTGATTTAATACTAAGGGAAATTATTACATTTGAACTACCTTTTTAACCTAGTATATTACCAAAGTGGGTATTTTCATTAAGTATTTTAAGCCTCCATATTCAAATGTAAAGCATTTAGTATTTTATAGTCTATGAAATTTGTAGTTTTGTACTTTTGAAAATGCAGTGTTAAAAGTTTATGACAAATTTTTATTCTGTAATATGTCATGAACTTAGAAAGTATGCATGCTTTTTATACTGTATTTGACAGTAAAATTAAAACCAAAAATATAAGCTTGAGACAAGTCATAGTGAGAGATCCAAGGAATGTAAACCTTCCTGAGTCATCTAACAAGGACTGCTGCATTCTATTACTTTAGAGATGCAGGAGCTTTCATCTCCTTTAGCGTTAAAAATTGTGATTTTAGATATCTATGCTATTTAAATGCCATTCAGCTTCATGTAAAACACTTCATTGCATCTTATGTAACTAATTTTCTTGTGAAATGGATATATTTAGTCCAGATTATTCCAAAGGAAAACCAGCTTTTTTTTTTCCCCAAGTGAAACAGACTGCAAAAAATTCCTCTAAATGTATCTACAAAAAATTACAGGTTTTATCTATAGTATTTTTTATTAAAAATTAAAACAAATTGCTTATTTCTTTTAGCTGAGACATTTGTAAGTGTAAAGATTTCAGTCTGGCTTGGGCTAAATGAAGTTCTGGTACTTCAAAGGCTAGTCACTGATGAACTTTATTTCTAAACTTTTGCTTGGGAAAAAAATGCTTTCTCTGTCAGAGCTTTACCAACTCCTTTTCCATATTGCACCTCTTTTTCCACTGCATTTTTACATTTTCTGTTAATTTTTCTGATGCAGTGAAGTACAGCCTTAGGAATTCTGTAAAATATTTATTTTTTTTTGTGTAAAGGAAATATCTACAGTAGAAATTAGAAAATAAAAACATCATAAAATTATTTATTGTTTGTCTAAGAAATATATTAAGCATTTTTTTAATATTCATATGTCCCTTAGCCTCCTCAGCCTGCTGTGCCTTCATCATGTGAGCCCCCACTCCTCCAAATGCTTGCCCCAGGTTTTTAGTTCTTTATCCTCAAAGTCCACCTGGGACTTTTCTCCCTTTCAAATTCCATTGATTATTTGTACTAAATTATACTGTCTGAAGCTTTATCATTTTATTTACTTCAGTAGATGGAGCATCTCTGTCAGGCATCCAGTGTATAATCCAAGGTCTCTTCTACAGAGGTATGGCATACTGCTTTAATTTAAACTGATATTGAAGTTCATTTCAGTAAACACATTGGGGAAAAAATATCCATAGAGGGTTTTAAACTGATCTAATGAAACACCTGCGAACTCACCTTTTCTATTAATTAGTAGTAGTATTTTCCAGAGCACTATTTTCCAGAGAAGTCCTCTCTGTTAGACAGTGTCTAATAGTTAATCTAATTGTTAAACAAATGTCCTTAAAATTCTGTGATACAAAGAACTGAAACCCCTACATGAGTCCAGTACTACTAGATTGCTTTCATTTCTATAAATCCATGAGTAATCTTCCATGCCCCTGTCTTTAACTCCTTTTGCCACCTGAAGAGCCTTGGGCATATGAAGGAACTAAGAACTTAAAGGAGACAGGAGTCTGCAGATCATGCAGAGCAACTCTGTTGGAGTCACAGATTTTATGAAGAAATTACAGCTCCTTATTAATTTAATTACATTAATTATGTGGAAAAAAGAATGAAATTCTGGCCCGGTGAAACAAACAACAAAATGTTATTTATTTCAACTGAGCCAAGATTTCACCTGAAGGACTTTTTTTCTTCCTGTGAGATACTCAGATCTAGGAGTGATGAAATACTTACAAAAAAAATTGATAAATAGTAAACTTATCAATTAACTACCCTTTAAAATATCATATTTGCCAGATCAAATAACCTTTAACATGCAGTATGCCTAGGTAGCTCTTTGTAGACATACTACCTTCTTCTCTTGTGCAGTGTTTGAAACTGTTAAAGTGTAGATTCCACTTGTTGTCAGTCCAGATTTGAAAGCTTCAGCACAGTCTTTGAAGCTGATTTGTTCTTCTTTGGCTATGAAGTTGTTCTTAGCTGTAGAAAATACAATAGAAATTGAAAGCATTAAGAGGAGATGAATGAAAGTTACTAAGAATCAATTTATGGTGTAATTGGCTTAAAGCAGTTCAAAAAAGTATGTTTGGTCCTGAAAGAAATGACAGATCAAGGTATTTATTATGTGTGTTGTTACTTTGTATCATTTAGAGACATTATTCTGATAGGACTGTGGTTGTTGGATAGGTTGAAAAGTTCCAACACTTGGTATGTTGAATGAGAAAAGTCAAGATACTGGATCTCATTTAGTTGAACAGTTTCTGCTTCCACTCATTGTCCTGGCTGGACTTCTACATGCATTACAACCTATGCATGCATTAACTACTATTTTATACATATCTAAGTAGCAAGTGATTATGTTAATAATGACTTTTGGCCAGTACTCTTATATTGTGAAGTAAGTTATGAAACCTTTTATAATGCATCAGGCTGGTGGAACTACCCTTAAAAAGTTTAAAGCTTTTTTTTTTTTTTTTGCCACTGTGCTGAGCAGGAACAACTTTGTATGTACCTAGCAGAAGCTTGGTAGCTCAGCCCAACTCACTAAAGACATACCTTCTGGAATTCATTTGTGTAAAAAATACATTTTCATATGTCTAAGCCTACTTATTCAACAGAATAATCTAAGGCTCATCTTTTTGTTCAGTTCTTTATTAACTATGGAGGTTGGAATTTCCTGGCATTTTGCCTGCTGACTGATATTTCATATTTGATCCTTTTGGGGTTGGTTCTGTGTATTTTCCCTTTTAATTTAATCTAACAATCACAGTCAGTTACTACAAAGGTTTAGGTGCCATATAAATACGTGCTTATATTACAGTTGGTTATTATGTTCTTTTTAGCTTGGTTATTCATTATTTACCTGTTTAAGTGCTTTGCCTTAAATAGAAAAATAACACATTCAGTGTTTTAATTGCTTTTCCACACTCTATTGTTTGCATACTGTCTTAGAAGCTTTCCCTGCTAATTTTGTCTTTTTGGCAAACACTCATTATTTTTTCCACTCTGGGTTTAATGGTGCTGTAGCCAACATGACTTTGACTTGTTTACTTATTTGTGCACTAGCATAGCAGATAACATCAGCAGGAACATGTACAGCCTTGGTATTTAAGGGAATAGCGTCAGTTATTAAGAAAAAAAACCCTGGAATTTACTTTGTTTAGAAAAACCTATGTTATGATAATAACATATAGGACAATACTTAAAGTGAGGACTTCCAAACTCCCTTTTCTTTTTCTGTCATCCACCTTACAGTAATGTATCATAGACCACCTATAATGTCTTTTAAGTTCTAATAACAACTTTTAACATTTTTTCCCAGTATTTAATTTTAAATATTTTCTTTAGGGGTACTGTATGCTTGTGTATTTTCAGCTCTGAGAACTTTACAGGCAACTGTGCCAGATTCTGCAGTCTTTTAGAACAGATTCTTAATCTGTCCAAGTTCCATATCAGACATGAAACTCAAGGCACTGAATGTTTAAATCCTATGTAGCCATAACTTTCAGTTTATGGTTTGTGTGGGTTTTTTATGGAGCACATTAATCTGCATAAATCTGNACATTTTCATAGCATTATTACCTCAGCAGTAGTCAAAAATCAAATTAAATAGAACATAAAACTTCATATAGTGGAATGACAGCATTTTATCGTGGTTATATTTGGAATGTTGCCAGAGGATGGCAATGAGTTTTACTGAAGTTTATATAAAATAGTTTTCTTACAAGATGTGATTGAAGAGACAAGAATATTTCAGTCTGGAAAAGGAGTGGAGGAGGGAGACTACTGTGAACACGAAGGTTTATGTAGAGAGGCTGAATGGGAAATGAATGTATATTTTCCTTTCCAGCAGAAAAATTGTAAAGCGTTACATGAATATACCTGAAGGCAGATTCAGAGAAAACAGTAAATGATGGGTTTTAGTAACACAGGGTTAGGTTGTAGAACTCCTTATTGCAGAATCATAATGAGCAAGGATTTACATGGGTTTAAAAAATTACTGAAGCAATTAAACACTTCATTTTTTCAAAACCCAACTATAATATTGCATCTAACCATCTGATGACCTGAAATCTGTGGAGCACAGTAAACTGGGAATGTTTGGCTTTTGTTTTTATTACATGCTCTTGGGAATCTTCATATTGGATACTAAAGGATGTGGCAGTATATGGTATTGAATCTGGATGCTACTTCTTGGTGTTTGAGCTCTGAAAATACCAGACAAGGAAGCAAGTAATATACAATTAGTCCAGCAATTCGAACCCCTATTTCCAGCCTGTTAGACTTGTACCCCAGTGTTGCCTTCCCCTGAGCAGTGCTTGAGCTGCTCAGAAGAGTATGCCCTATGAGCTGAAAAGTGCTGTAATACTTAGATTTCTCTATAAAAGCCTGAAACATTTGAAGGGTTTGTGCAGTATTTAGTGATCATTGCCTGGTTGAATTTTTAGTGGATTTCTAGTGCTCTCTCCAATGATTTAAGCCTCCAGCTTTTATTGGAAGCTTTTGCTCTATGTATGAGCACCTGTTTGGGCCTAAACTGTATACAGTTCTACAGTTTAGGAGGTAATTTGAGAAGACAACCCTTTAAGATGAAAATTGAAAATCAGAAAAATTTGTAACTGCAGAGTAAAGTTATTTTGAATTTTCAAACAGTTGTTTGCTTTTGCTTTATTTTTGGGGTTTTTTTCTTTTTTTTTTCTTTCTAAAAATGATAATTATGTCTAACTTTAAAAATAGTAAACAAAAGTCAAGGACTTGCTATCATGTAAAAAAATTTAAAGTGTAATGCAAAATGAGCGACAGCTTTGGGGTCACTGAGAAAAAGTTTTTTACTGCTTCTTCAACACAAATACTTCAGTGAGCAGCCAAAAAAACCTCCAAAATCTGGGAACAAAAAGAACCCAATATAGAATGGAATAGCTACGATCTGCCCAAATTAGGAACACTTAATACTTCGGCATCAAATGTGTAATTGTGACGCTCTACCTGTGTTTTCTTAGCAGGATAACTCATCCCACAAATAAGTTTTATAAATCATTTGCATTCAGATTTGTCTGCAAAGTAAAAGATTCATAGATTTAATGCTAAAATTTTCTGCTGTTTAGCTTTTCTGTATCAATTACATCTCTGAATTAACATAACTTTTCATGTAGTCTACGTCTGGTTATTACCCAGAATTTAATAACAGTCACTGAAGTCCAGCTGCTTAATCTCTCTTTTTGATGCCCCTGAGAACTCTAAATTCAGTGACTTTGACAAATACCTGCAGTGGTACATCTTTCTCGTCCATTCCAAGCCAAGTGAGGATGAGGCCTTAACTGTACAGGCTCACACTGTGTAGCAGTTCCATCACTAGGTGTCACCAGAGCCACACGAGCAGCTGCTGCAAGGGCAATCCAGCAGCTTGGAAGGGTGTGGAAAATAACACGAGTGGGAATCTTGCCCTTCCAGAGCAGCAATTTGGAGGACATCATTGGCACAAAAATTTGGATCACATATTTGTCATAGATTTGTATTTCTATCTATTCTATATCTATTTGTAGTAGATAGACTGGGGAAGGACGGGAGGGGGTAACGTTACAGTACCTACCTTAAAGCAGGTACTTAACACACTTAGAAGGGGTTGGTGTTTCATTATTGCAGGGCTCAGACAACTCTTCTTGCAATAAAAGTTCTCATTCTTCAAACAAAACTGAGAAAATAAAAACTCACAAAACCTTCTCCAATTTACTGTACAGGTGTCGAGAAACTGGAGCCCATGTTGATGAATCCCTATTTCCTGCAGTAGACACTAATGAGGGATTTCTAATACCAATAAAAAAAGTAAGTATGTGATTTTTTTGGGGGGTGCCTACAATAAAAAACTTTAAAGTTTGAACTTGGCTTTTTGACCTCAAGCATTTGAACTATTTTCAGAACATTCTGTAAACTCTATCTGAGTAGAGTATTCAATTCAAATTATATAATAGAGATATATAATAGTAGAGATTTCAATTCAAATTATATAATGATGAGTAATCAAAAAAATGACTACTATGTGGCTTATGTTTTACAGAGTTGCAACAAATACTATTATTTTAAAAAACTATCTTTAAATCTTTAACTTTGCTGCAAGCAAATAAAAAATGTTTGTTAGATTCTTTCTTAATTAGTATTAAAGATTACTTTGCAAAATGCTTTTTTCTGCAGTTACCTGTGGTTCTAAAGGAGGTGATAAGCAGCATAAATACCAATAATCAATACCATGACAAAGTGGTAGGCAAAATAGGAGGAGGAGGTATCATTATTTTGGCAGTTCTATATGTATAATTAAGGGTTTTGTCTATCTTCTAGCACAAATGTATGCAGCCAAAAGACTATGTTGAACAAACTCCAGAAAAAAATAGAAAGCTTCAGAGAAGACTAAACCAAATGGCTAAAGAATTAGCCCTACAAAAGACAGCAGTTAATGCTGGTAAGAACTATTTTTTACTAAGATTCAAATATTTGAAGTTTTTTTTTTAAAGCACTTGATGAGGTTTTGGTGTTTGTTGGTTGGGGTTTTTTGAGTCTTTTGTATCTTGCCATGAGAAATAAAACTGATTTAATTTTTACAGAGTTCTTTGCAGTTCTGTTGTGTTAAGGCATCTGTAATGATCTTAGATCTAAGAAAACTATTTTTGCCAAGTTTTATGGAATAAAAAGAAAGAAACTTAATCTCAAGCTCTTACGTCATTTAAATATTAATATATAAATACAATTTCTTTGTGTAGAAACAGATGTACCAGTTTTATTATTTGAAGACAATGGTTCACTTATATACAGTCCTGTTAATAAGATAAAAGCTCAGTGCAATGCAATGGAAAGAAGAATAAAGGATATTAAGGAAAAAAGAGAGAATCTTTCTCCTACGGGTAAGAAGTTGAATTTTACTTACTTATGAACATGCACAAATGGCTGCTGGTTTTATTGCTGACTTTTTTGTGCACACTTTACAGTGAGACTCTAAATCTTATTTCCTTATTTTCTCTAAATGTGGATGCTGTGCATAACAAAGATTGTAATGCTGTTACTCCCACATCAACAGTTTAAAAAGGAGCCCAAAACTGATGAGATACCTGTCCAAGTACTGAAGAACAGGACTTAAAAAAGAAAAAAAATTTGAATAACCTTATTAAATAAATCTAGTTAATTTTAAAATGCATATTCTTATTAATTAAACCTAGATTGTAGTTTTCAGGGTTGTTTTTTAGTGTTTGCATTACTTTATTGAGAAAATATTACGGTCTAAGTCATTAGGTTTCACCAGTTACTGCAAAAATGTTGAATGTGCAACATTTTTTGGTGGGGTGGAATCCAAAGTATTTGAAGTTTTAAGACGTGTGTCAGCTAGACTGTCAATTTCTGATTTCAAAAATAGTTGTGAAACTAAAGAAACAGTAATACATGGATAAAAAATTAAATCTCAGTTTATTTTAGTGAGGACTGTATTTATTTTCTCTCCAAATTTTAAGGTAAACCTTCAAACATTAAAAACATTTCCGCTATATCAAGATATGATTGCCAATTGCATGATTTTACAGATTCTTTAGTAAAATGTCTCAGCAGGCCTTAAAAATACCGGTAATAATTTCTAAATAGTTTGATGTTATTCTTTAGTTTCAGAAAAATATGCTGCTGAGTTTCCTAGGAAAAATGCTTACAAATTTCTAATAGCTTTTTTGTATTCTTAGGTTCACAAATGACTCAAAGACTTCCAAGTACCTCACCAGGAGACTACTCACTTTCTACTTGTATCTTAACTAATTCAGAAGATGTGTTGCTACCTGGTAACGAACACAATATATTACAGAAATTAAAAATAATACATGGCCTTTATTTCTTACTTCAGAAAGTGCTGTATACTGAAATGAGAACTGTATCTATTTTCTCTATCTTTTATATTTAAAACAGAATTATCTTTAGTTTTTCCTTACTAAAGAAAGTATGTTGTACTAAGAAGTCAAGAAAAATGGAGCATAAGGAATACTGCTGGGTAAATGCTCTGCCTTAATGCTGTATTGCTTGCTTCACTTCCTCCTCTCTACTCATACCATTCCCTATTAATAATTTTTTGTCCTACATGGTATCAATTTTCTCTGCTCTTAACAGTGATCATATATGGTACACAGAGTGAACAGCAAAGAGTGTAATGTGGGAAGCTTAAAAGAGATCTGAATGAGGGTAATGAGGACCTGAAAGAACTGAAATGTCTTCCAAATTTTCAGTTGAAGAACTTCAGTTTCAAAGTTAGCCTAATGTGTTTTTCAGCTTATGTAGTCAAGTTTGAGAAAATAACAAGAATAAAAATAAATTGGCTTTTTTAATGTTTTATGGTTTAAGATAGATTAAAATAATTCGTGAGCAAGGTAAGAACCTTATAAAATCATTCTTGTTAAGTTAGGAGTTTGTTCCTGTGTTTTGGTGTATTAGCAGGGCATAAGATAGAAGATTGTGAAGTCTGTTGAGGTACATCAGTGAACATCTTAATAGTATTGATTATGTATGCAGAAAGTTTGTGCTTCAGACCTCATGTCACCTGTCAGTCACTGGGACAAAAAGCTCAAGTCAGATGCTGGCCTTGATCTCAGTAGGAAAGTGAGGAGGAGAAGGGAGTCTTTAGAATTTGTAATGAGGGCCACTAGAGCAGTTTGCCTGCTCTCTGTTCTCCCTAACAGTAAGCTATACCACATTTTGTTTTGAGGTTTTGTATTTTACTCACGTCGTACAGGAGTTCTGACATGTTGGCTTATCTAAGAACGCGGTGGGTTTCTTGCAGCCTGCGACAGCTTGTTATGTCTTCATGCAATATTAGTGAAAAGTGATAGCTGAACACTGAAAGTAGTTTAGCTGTTCCAGCAAACTGTTTTACTTTGGTAGCTGATGAGGTAGAACATTGTGATTTGAGAGCTTTGCCTTGCATATGTCCCTTCAGCTTTGCAACTGCACAATGTAATTTTACACTAAGAACAGATCAGAAATTCCCATAACAGCATTTAGTGTAGCTTTCATCTCCGGCACTCTGTGACAGTGGCCCCTGTGTTTGTGCCTAAGAGATATGAGACTGGTTAGTAACGGTTTGGAAAGTTCAAGAAGCCAGGTTAATTTGAGGATTGAAGCTGACTTTGTCAGTTGTCAGTATGAGAGACTGATCATATAATGTGGAATTTCTCTCCATATGTTTTATTTTTCTTAATACAGTTAGCTACACCATATGTTTAAAAATATTATCTATATTGAGTAAGCAAATAACATCAAGACTTCCCCTTACACCTACAGGAGAACTTACAGAAGGAGTATTGCTGTGATGTTGCACTCATCATCTACTTAAGCAAAAGCATGTGCTGCAATCATTTTATTGCAGAACAACAGGATTTTAAAAAATGCACGTTGATTAATCAGAAATACTAGCTTCTTTCAGAGGAATTTATTGTGAAGAGTTATGAATAGATTCTGTATAATACCTAACACAAATTAATTTCATAAGAATAGCTACAAGAAGTAATTCTAATTGTTTTTGTACATTGTATTGATGTATGTGATTGATAGTATGGTATTGTATTTAATTCCATCTTAAATGCAAAATCTTCAAGGTGGTGCTAATGCTGTGGTAGCAAAAATTTTTAATGAGTTTCCACTGTTACTAAAGCTAACTTTATCAGAATATAATCTTGCTTTCTCTACAAATGCAAGAAGAGTATCGAGTTCCTTTGCTGCTTTATTTCAAGAAAACAGAATGGAACTTGTGGGTGCTTATGACCAGATAAGGGGATAAAATAGCTAAAACTGTTGTAGGTTCTTGTCAACATAGAACGTGCTTTTTCTAATCCATATTCTGTTTAGTTTTTGTTGACTTGACATGTAATATCCAGAGAAGTGGCTAAATCTTTGTTTTTTCAGTTCAGGAATTCCTTTTATATTTCACTAAGAAATTGATACTCTTTTTGATTTGTTCAATACATTTATATTGCCACATTTTTTTGTTTTGCAGAAGAACAAATGGAAGACTGCTTGAACTCAAGTTGTGATTATCTTTGGAGAACTGAGAAGAGTCAGAGAACAGAGGCAGAAGAACATGACTGTGATACTTGGACTGATATTCATTTATCTGTAAGTGCATCAGTGAATTCTCCATCATGTAGCAATGAGCAGACGAGCTTAACACCAAAACAACGTGCCAGAAGTTTAACAAAGAAACAGATTATACAGCATACTTTGGATCATAGATTGTCTTTAGGAAAGAAATGTTTAAAGTTTCCAAAGAAAAATCAGAAGAACGAGAAGACCAAAACAACTTCAGTTGCAAATAGAAGTTCTCTTCTCGAGGGCTTTGGTAATATTACTCTTTCTAAAAAAACAGTCCAGTTAAATACTGTTCCTGCTTTGACTGACAGTCTCTCTAATTCACCTATGAGTAGTGAAGACTTAAATACGTGTTCACTGGATAAAAGCTTCCCTGTTGACAGAAATGATTGTGTTCTTAAAGACAAGAAGAGGAGGAAACTACAAACATTACCAAGTTTTAAGCTGGCTACCTCAGAACTTCGTGCATCAGGCTCTAAGGGGTTCTTGCAAGCAGTTACTACATATAGCAAGTCTTACTGCACTGAAGAGGCTTCTTATGAAGATTTCTTTTCATCATCTAATTCAAATGAAAATGAAGTACAGATACAAGTACCAAAGGAATCACAGAATCCTCCTGAAGTTTGTTCCAAAGACTCTTTTACAAGCATGGACCTGCATGATGTGAGTTTCAGTGAGCTACATAACTGCATAACTACTAAGAAAAGTAGGAATTCGTCTATTTCCGTGAATGATTTTCCAGAAAAGAAAAAAATCAAACCAGATAAACATCCAGGAAGCATACCATTAAATATATCAGGTGATGAAAAAGATGACACTGGAGGAGCTCTAGATACTGATGATATGGACAGGCTTCCACAGCATGCTCATGAAAAATCCTACAACAGTGTTAATGACTGTGCTCATACTGCTGGTAAGTTACTACATAGAGCTGGAAAATCAAAAGATGCTATACTGCCTTAGATATACTAATGCAACTAAATTGCAAAATGGACTGCCATTCCAAAACGAAAAATACTTCAGAAATACACCAGAAGAAGAAAATACTGTGGTACTGATTTTATTACTGAGTAAAATAAATGAATGCATAGAATCCAAAAGAACACACATTTGTTTTCCCATACCTTACAAGCACAAAGTCATAAGAGATAAGGAAACTGCCCACTATACACAACAAAAGTAATGTTAAACCTTCTTTTCTCCTAATCTCCTAATTTCATGTTGCTACTCAAAATCTGTTTAAGAAACCAGAGTCTCATCATATGTTCCCCTTGTTCAAACTATTTTTACTTCACAAGTGAAAATTGTTACAAAAATTGCAGTTAAGATCATAAAATCTCTGGTGGAAAAAAGATATTTGAGTTAGCAATTTCTTGTGTGGTGAAGATGAAATAGGACCTGCAAGAGTTGCAATGGAAGCATATTTTTCAACCATGACTTTTTTATATGGAACTAATATTAATTTTTAATAATAATTTTAAGAGTATTTTTCTATATTTAAGCATTTTCAAGTTGATTTAGCATAAAGTATTTTAATGTAAATGTATACTAAAATATAGAATCTCAGGAACTTCCTTGGAAGATGCTCCTAACTTACATTAGAATAATTTTCTGATTTTGATATCTTGAGCTTTGTCAAGCTTTACATAGGGTTGAATTTTTGTAACTATAATTTTGTATTTTAATAATATATCTTTCCTAGAAAATTCTGTAGTAGTGCATCAATTAATTATATAAAAGTAATTATTAACTTAAAGCACTCAACAAACTTGCTATCAGACTTATAAAATTCAGTGGAAAGGTTGAATCATGACTGTGCCTATACGTGTGAGTAATAAGCTGCTGAGCTGTGAGCTGCCATTTTGAGTTCATTACACCTGTATTTTAATATCTGGAGTGCATAATTTATAACGTAGTTTAAAAAACAGTGGATGCAGGTATACGTTATACAGGTATAAATGTACACCGATAATTGACAACTTTCTGCTCCAAGTGATAAATGAGCCATAGAGGTGATATGTTGGATCTTGTTCTCACCAAGAAGGAGGTGCTGGTGACGAATGTGAAGCTCAAGGACAGCCTTGGCTGCAGTGACCATGAAATTCTAGAGTTCAAGACCTTGGGGCAGTGAGGAGGGCATACAGCAAGCTTACTACCTTGGACTTGAGGAGAGCAGACTTTGGCTTCACCAGGGATTTGCTTGGTAGAATACCATGGGAAGAGGTACCCAAGGGATGATATTTTAGGATTGTCTCCTCCAGACTGAACAACAGCACATCTCTACAAAGATGACATGGAAGAGTGCCAGGAGGTCTGCATGGATGAACATGGAGCTCCTGGACAATCTTTAGCACAAACAGGTAGTTTTCAAAGAGCAGAAGCAGGGACAGGTAGCCTGGGAGGAAGACAAAGAAATTGGACAGCCATGGGTCTGATTAGAAAGGCTAAAGCACTATCAGAAGTAAATCTGGCCAAGGTTCTGAGGGTAAATAAAAAAAGCTTATTTAGGTGCATCAGCAACAAAAGAAAGACTAGGGAAAATATGGGTCCTCTAAGGAATGGTAGTTACCAGGGTGTGGAGAAGGCTGACATACTCACCATGGTTTGATCCAGGCTTCACCAGCAAGTGCTTCAGCCACACCACCCATGTTGCAGCAGGTGAAAGCAGGGATTGGGGAATAAAGAAATGCCTGCTGTAGGAGAAATAGAGGTTTGAGACCTCTAGCTCTGGAGCCCCAAGCACAAACAAGAAGTTGACTTGTTAGAACAAGCCCAGAGCAGGCCACAGAGATGATTTAAGGACTGGAGCACCTCCTATGAAGACTGAGAAAATTGGAAATGTTCAGCCTGGAGAAGAGAAGGCTCTGAGGAGACCTAAGAGCAGTTTTCCAGTACCTAAAGGAGGCTTACAAGAAAGCTGAAAGACTTTTAATAGGGGCATGTTGTAATGGGAAAAAAGTGAATGGTCTTAAAATGAAAATGAGTAGGCTTAAGTTAGATATTAGGAAAAAATGAGTGTGTTGAGGCACTGGAACAGATAGCCCAAAGAAGTTGTGGACCCCTCATCCCTGGAAGTGTTCAAGGTGAGGATGGATGGAGCTCTGAGTAACCTGGTCTAGTGGAAAGTATCCCTGTCTATTGCAATGGAGTTGGAAATAGATGGTCCCTTCCAACCCAAACCATTTGACGATTCTATGTAATATATGAACCCACTTTATGTGGCTTTTTGCCATGTGTCAGTGTACTATGAGATGATCCTTAAATTGTATAGTTCATCATGTCAAAGAAGAGTCTAGTTTTCATTATATAGTCATGGAAACAAATAGGGAAGCAGAAAAATCACGGAGCATTCCGAGATGGAAAGAAGGGACCCACAAAGATCACCAAAGTCCAGCTCCTGCACAGGACAGCCTCAAGAATCACACCATGTGCCTAAGAGAATTGTTCAAATGCTTTTTGAGCTCTCAGGTTTATTTGCTATGTTTAAACTTAGTTATTACAGTTAATTTTAGATTTAATTATAACTTTTAAATTCTAGCAACTGAATTATGATCACTGTTCTAGCATGTCACACTTTTATTTTCATGCTGGACAATGTGTTTAAACTAATAGATTTTAGAGGACAAAAAATAATATGATTCCGCAAACATAAGTTATTCAATGTTTATACTTTTTATCCTTTTTTTTAGGAATGTCTGTAAATCTCAGTTTGTGTTTGTAGTGATTTTAGTAATATTTGTGTTATATCATTGATGTCCGTTTTCCCATGTATGGTACATTCAGCTTCATGCATCTTTTGCACAGTCAAGTAGCACCTCAAGTTTGACAGCTTGAATGAGCTCATTTAAAAATGGAAGGAATCAATAATGTAAGAGAAGTTGTGTTTTCCCTAATAATGCAAGTTTTGCAGAAGAAAATTAAAATATTGTATTACACTTACTCCTGATTCTCTATGATGGAATAATTGATTTTTATAAATTAAGAATTACGCATTTCCTTTTCTTAATTAAATGTAAGTTGCTCCTTGCTCCTATTAGTAAATAAATAGTAAATGTTTTGGGGGTTTTTTTCCTGTATATTGTACATTAGTTGTAAGCTGGCAAATCCAGTATATTTTTAAAAACTAATAAATTCTCTTAATTCATCATATATATAGATATAGATATATGTTTAGGAGTAATCAAATAGCCATATAAAATGTTATATCTGTAAATGTTTTAAATATCAAATATTTTTCTTGCCCATTTTTTTGTTGTGATTTTATGTCAGTGGTACCTTTACCCAGTATCTTTAATGACAAGAAGATTTGATAAGCTTTCTTTCCATGGACTACTTGGAACAATTCATTTTAAAGTACAAGTGTAATATGCAAGCTAATCTGAAACCAAATTTTCAAGGCCTACTGCTTATGTGGTAGCAAGCTTCAGGTTCCTTTGTAGAGCACATTCAACGCTGCCCAGTTGTTCTGCTGGAATAAACACTGCTACTTATTTTCATTTTACTCCAGGTCATGGACTCTTCATCTGAAAGCTACAACAATAAATAATAATGTGCAAGGAATGCAAGAGTATACTCTCTTGAGCTTTTATCATGCTAACATCATTTAGAAATTTGAGCTCAGACTTAGCATTACTTTTAGTCTTAAAAATAAACTTAAGGTTTTCCGAGTGAATATTATATATTAATGGTAATGTGGAAGGCAAATATTATCTTAATTAGCAAAACTAAGACCCATTGTGCTGTAATCAGTGTAGTTCAGTGTTAAGATGGAAAATCTGGAATATCAGTATCTGTTATTTGGTGCAATAAATCATTGTGTTTAATTTAGATTAATGAGTTTTACCTTAGGTTCTAGGTCCTATGTGGCTTAATGCTGCTAAAATACTGTTTATGTCTTTAAAAGCACACGTGTGAAAACTTCCTTAGATTAGATGTGTCTTTTGGTTTTTTTCAGCTTTGGAAGAAGATAATCTCACTAAAAATATTTTATAATGTCCTCCATTGACCTTTTATTATGTCCTTTTAAAAAACAAATGAGGCATAAAGAAGAAAACTGTTTTTTCCTTGACTCCTTGTTTCATTTATCCTCACAAAAAGTTGATTTGTAACTAATAAAACAAAAGAGGACAAGTGTTTCTGGGTAGAGGAACAGGTTGAGGATTATTTTGATGTAGTCAAATTTGCCAAAGCCTGGTGGCACTTGTCCTAGAGCACATACCAAGACACATCAAATTTTTATAAACCATCAGCAGGCTCTCTCTGAGGATCTGGGGGGACTCATACATTTTCAGAAGACTTGAAGAAATTATGTTCTGTATAAAAAAATCTTGGTGTTTTCCCATGCCTCAGTAATATCTACAATAATAATAACAACACAAGGTATTAAATATTTATGCATGTGTACCTTAAGGATTACTAATGATGAGAAATTTGGACTTAATTCCTTCATAGTTGGGGTAAATACCTCTATGGATAAGTACAAAATAGTAGATACAACATAGCTTAATTTAAGTGACACTTCATAACAATATTTTTAAAGTAGAGAACTATACTATAGAAAAATATTTTATTAGATAGACATGGTTTATTTGATCAAGCAGGACTACCTCATTTTGCCCTAATCATTGCCTTTCAATTCAATGGAAATATCTAATGGAATTTTATAGATAATATTCTGGTTCAAAACTTCTCATTGGTGTTAAAATTATCATGAATGAGTAGAAGCTTAAATTGAAAAGTAAAACCACTCTAGTTTGTGGCAATGCTTCAGAGGGCTCAGTTGTTGATTTTGGTGCCAATCATTCAGCAGTGTTTTGGAAGAGCATTTAGGGGATCTCATGAACCACTGTGGCAGGAGTTACCTGCATATTGAACTTAGTTCAGGGAGACCTAACACTGGATGCAATTGCTTTAAAACGTTGTCAACTTTAAAGTCCTCTAGGAAAAGCTGCTAAAGATGAAAACTCATTATTTTTACCTGAGTGACTGCTTTAAAAAGAAGTAATCAGGAAAAAAACAGAAAATAGTGAAGTTTGAGACCTATAGGATGGAAAAGCTGTAAAGTACTTGAGAAGTGCTGATAAACAGGAATGTAATAGCAAAGAATAGCCCTTATTAATGTAGTGCCTAAGATCCGTGAGCTGATAAGCAGAGATAAGGGACATTATCCTCTGTTCCTGCTTTCCTGTAAATATGAAGAACCCACTGGAATGAACCCTAATGGGAAAGAAGTTCAAACAAACAGGTTTTAAGACTTTAAGCCCAAGTGGGACAAGTGCTGTGGAGCATGAGAATTCAGCCAAGGCCAGTAAAAAGACTATTATGCCACTTTTCACTGTTAGGCCCCAAGCCAAGCTGCCCCTCAAAAAACCCCCCAAAACCTGAAATAACCTAATGGAAATTACCAGAGACTACTGTGGGTAAAGTGGTGGAGTACATGATCTTACATCTTATGTAGTCATGTAATTAGGGTTTTCTTAAGATTCAAAATACATCTTTAATAGTTCTGGGGTTTATGCAAAAAGAGGCAATTTTTTTCTTTATTGTGTAGCAAGATGTTTTCTCCTACTTGCCATCAGTCTTCCTTAGTGATTGAAAATGATGGGCCTCAGTGAATAAAATTAACATAGCTATTAGTTACGTCTTGATTGCATGACACTATATACCTAAATATTGAATTTAAATCAACAATTTTACCTGAAAACCAGGTTTTCATTTATCACACAAAAATTACTGCAATAAATTTTGACTAGTTTAAAGATTATAATTTTTAAATGAGTAACCATAATGGATTGTAATTTGGTGATCTGTCACCTCAAGAATTAAGAGTTTAAGTAGCTGACAGAGGAAAAACAAATACTTCTTAGTTATATATACATTCTAAATAGGGGGATAGTACCCTTCAGTATTTTCCAAAAAATAATCAAAGAAACTTTGTTAACAGGAGCTAATTTTAGGCCACTTTAATCACTAACTAAACTTTCTTTAATTGATCTCATCCATTTCTTTGAAGTGAAAAATGAATAAGTGCTCTAAAATAGACGATTGAGTGGCATTTGGGAAAAATTCTCTCCCTAAATTTAGAGTAATTAAAGCTTAATTATTTAAAAGATAGATCAAAATTTTTCATCTTAGGCAGGTAAGCTATTTTTTCAAATGATTTAGGAGTTTATTTAGTTCTTAGGAAACTCATCCTGACAGAGTTGAAGAATTAAATAGTATTAATTCATAAAATGCATAATGAAAAGTACTGCTTTTTGACAGAGTGCATTCTTATGGATGGTCTGATAATGCCTTTATGTACATAGAATCCTTGGCTGCTAACAGTTTGCTAGATTTGCATGCAAAGTGTTTGAAAAGAGCTTTCAGACCTTCGTATCATTTTAGATAAAGTGTGTGCTGAAAGTGTTGATGTGAAGGTCTAGCCACTGAAGCTTCATACCCAAATATCTCTGCAGAAAAATTGCACATTTTATAATAATTAGAAAGCAATTTAGCATATTCTCTACTTGTAGTTAATACATGGTTTTCAGAATATAGGAAATTGAGAGTTTTACAACTGGGTTTTTTAATAAGAATAGATATTCAGGGATTAAGTCAGATCCTTGAGTGTCATTCCTTTTTTTCCCTAACTGAAATATAGTGAGAAAATAACTGGTACAAATTATTAAGAAGTATCTTAAGGGTACATAGCACTGTGCTATGATAAAATAATAGGTTGCAGTCCCATTTCATAAGATTGCATTTTTCATTTTAAGTTTCTAAATTTGGTTTCTAGGTGGTGAAAATGAAGTGTCAGAGTGTCATGTTACTTACGGCTCTTGCAAAATCTTTGATGAACAAAAGAATAAGCACACTGGGGACTTAAGAAAAGCTGGAAGACTCCAAAAGGTCAGTTTAACTGAACATTTGCTTTGTTAAGATCTTCAGTGGAGGATCAGAGTCCCTTTGTATATACAAAAATTAAAGTAAATTCTCTTTTGCAGTATCAATTTTGAAACTTTCCTGAATCTCACTTTTCTTGAAATATTATGCTCATGGTCTTGGTGTATACTGATAAAACTGAGCTCTCTGGTAACTTGTGCTGGCTGAGTTCATGCCAAGCTGACATCGTAAAGGAGGTTGGCAAGCCAGCTCAAACCGAAAATAGCTGAAAAGCCACTGAAGTTACCTGAAAAGATGCCTGTCCATTTTAGAGGAGTTCCTAAATGCAGCAGGTTTTTTTTATTTGTTTTATACTGGATCATTGCCAATGGATGTTTCTGCTGAATAAGGATTTATGCAAGATTTTCTTTTAGGTTCTGATAAATTTCTTAATTTAGTATTTGAGCTCAATTTAGCTGTAAAAAGGGGAGAGAGGATTGAGTCAGCACTGAATCTTTTTTAAAGTGTTTTCCTTTGTAAAAGTCTTTTAAGTAAATATAAAACTGATCAGAAAAATAAATATTAGTTCTTATAATCAATAAGTAGCAATTCACAATTGAAATGAGTGCTGTGTTCTTTTGAGAGTGGAAAGTCCTAAAGCACTAAAGGATGTCTGCTGTTTTTAACGATATGAAATAAGTTAGGTGTTTCATTTGTAGATACTGGTGGAGTTTAAAAGAGACTGATCACAGATTTTGAAACTTTTATGTAAAGGTTTTGTGCAGGTGCAGTTACTAAGTTGTTCAACATTATAAACATGCTGAAGATTGGATATTAATCTTCATGGGTCAGTGATCTCTGGATTAAAATGATTATTTAACTTGTCTGCATCTTACTACTTTTTAGTTTTTTTTAATATTTATTCCCTTTATTTTCCTAAATATATTACGTATAAAATTAATAACTAGAATGTGTAAATCACTCTAGAAATATAGAAGCATTTAAGACAATGTACTCTTTAGGCTAAAGTATCTCTCCAGAATAGTTTCATTTCCTGGCACAGAAATCTGACTAAAGCAGCTGCATGTAAATCCACAACCACACTTAATGGCTCTTTCTAAGGGTATTTGGAGAAAGTGCACTTGGAGATTTGTCAGGGTTGTTGGCACTGATTCCTTCTCCAGTGAAATTACTCAGCAAGACCATTATACATCAGTCCTAATTTTGACTAATTTCTCTTTTGATCCCAACATAATTATTGTACTGAAGAGTACAAAATATACTGAAGAGAAACATAAAGAAACACGAAATTCTTTTTTATTGCTCCCCTTTTCCAGATCGGGCCTTGCAGTCAGAGGTATCTTTAAAAGGTTCTACATGGTGTCTGCTTGTAAAGTATGCTCTGTGAAGTGTTTAACAGTAACAAGGCTAAGCAGGTGCTAGAGAAAATTCCTGTTCAGTGTTTTGAGATGGCTTCTTTTATCCACCCATTTCAGCTTGGTGTTAATACCATTTCACTCAAATATCAATAAAATTGCAGTGCATAATTTCATTCATGTCATTAGTGCTTTTTAAAACTTACTTTAAAGGTTTTCATTGTCAGCTTGACTGTGCAGATTCATAGGGAGACAATTTTGGCTGAAAAGTAAAAAGGGAAAAAAGTTCACAAAAAGGTGCTATGTGATTAACCAGATGCTATGTTTGGCAATGAGACTGCTGCACTGAAAAGTTTAAATTTTAAGAGAATATTGTTTTAAACAAAATCAGACTATGTAAATTTTTGTAAATAATTATGTTGTAAAACCTCTCTTATACCAATTAAAACATGTTCTTGAAGCTTTATAAAAGCAACCAAACATTTTACACCATTTTTATTTAATACTGTTTTTTCCAGTGGCTATGGCTTAACATTTACATTGCCAGTAGTTAGTAAAAAGTTGCAATGTTTAAGTTAGAAAATGTTAGTTAGTTTTCTTTGGCCTAAAGAAAAAACTGGGAGAGAAATGGCACGAATATTTTAAAAAATATAATTTTATGGGATTATAGTATTATGAAGAAATCATATTTATTTAAATCATAAAATAAATTCTATGCTAAAAATAAACTGCCTAAGAAATGCTATTTCCTAGATGCTTTGATGTATGTATTTCCACAAATGTGACTGTGACTCTTCAGACAGATTATATTCCTAGGAATCTGTTGTGTGATCTCTTAAATTCATTACTTTGCTTCCCAAAACAAGAGACACCTATGTAAATTACAGCTATCTTTTTTATAGAAAAAGGTTTTGAAATATAATGCCTCAAAAATATTTTAGATGCTTGCAGAATGTAATTCCCAGATAATTATTTTACTTTAGTTACAACTATGCTACAGTGAGCACTACAGTTCTAACTCATTCTGTACAGCGAATGCATGTCAGTAGGCCTTTGGAGTTCATGATGTGATGGTAAATATTAAAAAAGCCATGAAAAAACATCTTTAGGAAACATGACTAGGTCTAAGAGTTAACATTATTTAATTCTGTGTTTCTTTCAATTTTTCATTTGTAGTTTCTTTAATAGAAATTAAGTCATAGGTTCTGTATTTCTCTGCTGCGCTATTGAGTTATGCTTTTGTTTTCTTCAAAAACTCATGCAGGTTGAGTTTCTTGTGTTTCGTTTTAGATGAAGTTAAAACTAAGAATCACTTTGTTCAGATACTTGTATATCACAATTTTAGATTAAAGCACTAATAGTTTCTTTATTATACTCTTTATATAGGCACGGTTAATGTACTGTTAATGTAGAAGATGTCTAACCAAATATATGTAAAATTGTACTATCAACAAACAAAAGCGGGGAAGACAGAACAGTTTATAATGACAGCTGCATACACGTTTGGGGAAGATAAGTAAGATTTTCAAGAATCTTTAATGGCTTCAGAAAAAAATTATTTTTGGATTTAAAAAACATCACCACCACCCCGAAAACAGAACTTTTGGTGTGTTCAAAGGCAGTGAATCCAGACAGATTTATAAAATTGACTCTTAGTTTTGAGACAGAGTTGGTAAGGATAAATATTGTTGATTAATGCTTGTGAATGTCAGCAGGTGGCTTCCCTGGTCTAGAAATCTAAGTTGATGACACTGGGTTGCAGGGATAAAGTAAATGCTTTATGCATTGTGATGTGTTTCTCAATTAGTCCATGAAATTGAATACATAGATCTTTGTTGTTTTGCATAGGGGGGACAAAGTGAAATAAGTAAAATTCATCTTAAAGCCAAAAATGTATTCAAACAAGTTATTTATAGTAGTGGTGAACTGTTCAGTTCTCATTTCATTGCTTACTGTCACAAAAAAGTTTACATTTATCACAGTGTCTGTTGCATGTCACAAATTAAATACTTTGTACTTTAAAAAGATCAGAGATGCATTGTTATTAACCATTTAACTGTCATTTTTATCCAAATAAAAATTTGCTTTATAGTTTTAGAGGGATATGAGAGGTGATGGATGTCTTTAAAAGCATCTAAGAGTCTCACAGCATTAAAAATGCAATTGGAATAAATTGTAAAGTTAAAAAAAAGTTTAAAATATTATTTTCTGAGTGAAAAGAAACTCTTTAATCATGTGAAAAAAACAGTTAAGCATCATGAGGGATGATTCAAAACATATTTTTACAAAGATGACAGTGTGGACTTAACTGAAATTCCTTCAGTTTTGTTTTAAACAGATTAATCTTGGCTTGTATTTCTTTAGCTCTTGGATTTGGGTGAAGTACATCAACACTGATCTTAAGAGCTTTTTTAAGAGGAGATTTTTACAAGCAAGCTAAACTCATGCTGTGGAAGAAATAATGTGAAGCGAGTCATTGTTAGATCCTGTTATCACAATCCTTTTTAAAATTACTTTTTTCATGGCAAAACAAATTTTAATATCCTGAAAAATCTGTAACTATAAAACATGGAGCATCTTGCCAGACATTCAGGAAAGTAACTTTATGACTGTATTTTATATGTGCATTCATAGACTTTCCTAAATTGTATTAGTTTAGGGGACAACATAATTTTATGTTTTCCTTCCAGTTTTGATTTGAATAGGTATATATTTGAAATAATGATGCTTGAAATGTTACTGACTTTGAGACACAAATGAATAGGACAGTGAATTAGACAAGGTGGAAGCTTGCAATCTCCGTTGCAGTTAACAAAGAAAAAATTGGAACCACCTATCCCATGGTTTGGGGAAAATGTTTGATGTAATGGGGGTGGTCAGAGGGATAGCACTGTGAAGGATGTCTATGAATCCCCTGGTTTGGGACAGTTTTAAAAATACTTCTATATGATTGATCCCATGACTACTTTCACTCAAACTTTGCAAGGCAGTTCTGGTTCTGGACTTTCACCAGCTAGTGAATTTGTCCCCCACAATTCTCCCACATCAAGTGGAGGACTTCCAGGACAGAAGCCATACCTTTGGCTGTTTTACCTAACATTGCATGTTTTGGGCCATGTCCTAATGTCAACAGCTTTGTTATCACCCCTTTGGGGTGCTGCTATTCCTGATAGGATTATCTCCTGTAGATGAACCTAATGGATTGATTTATGACCTTGGGTCCCTAGAAATCATTCTCTTTATGATAGGCTTCATATTAGCTATTTGGGACTACCTATTGAAGTGCTGTGGTATATTTCTTAATTTTAAAAAAGTGTCTTTTAAAATCAGTACCTTTCTAGGGCAAAAGGCACATGCTCCTCTCGGCTCAAGCTGTTTCCTGTTGTTCCAGGGACACTTCCAGCTGGTGTTCACACTCTTGTATATGTTGCTGTTTGGAACACTGGAAATGTGCTGTGACAGTGAAACCTGAGGTGGTTGACTGTAGCTTGTCATCTTAGGAGGCAGGATAGTAAAGATCCAGGAACTGCATTGTCCCAGTTTTTTATATAAAATTGTCACTAAATTTCTGTTCACTCTCTTCTAAAAAAGGGCATAAAGGCTTAAGTAGGTGGAGAGTTTTGATTTTTTTTTTGTCTTCATAGAATTCAG